AGTCTGTAGAGGAAGTTGAAAGAATCGTAAGATGACATACTAAATTAAAACAATTCCAGTCCTATTCTAAAGCTTTAAGATTTATTACAGGTACATATCATTGCGAATTTGAAAAAAAAAATTTATAACAAATTATTTATATTATTATATTGAAATTGAAATTCTTTTATAATACATAATAAAATTTATTACACATATTTATTAACAAATATTATTTATTAAATATTTATATTATTAATTTGATATATTCCGTGTATAATATTTATGTAAGTATGTATTGGGATATGTAATACTATTTTCATAGTAGAAACCGAAATCTTACCAGATTTAAGTATCCAAGAAGGATAATACCATATCGTAGTGGCAGACAGAAGCAGGCTCTTCTGAATTCGGGAATTTCTATTAACATTTTCAATTTTTCATTTGCTTAGGCGTGAGTCTTAAACTTACTGAATGCATATGTACACCGAACTTGAAAAGTGCGTCGCTATCCTTAGCGTATAAGAAATTGTTATCTTCAACATTTTATGAATATTTTATAACAAAAATTGTAAATTAATGCAAAAACGAAAGACAAAGTTGCTTCAATTATTATTATTATTTCGTAGCAGTAGAGCTTCTTGTGAATGTGTTCATCCAGGGAAGCACTGCCACCACCACCAAGAATAATGGTCACATTACTACTTTCCGGTTTTGAAGGGTTGGAGTGCTGGTGAAATTAGAGGCTCAAAGGACTTGTCAGCTTATGTTTCAGGGTGACGACGGGCGAAGTAGCGGTGCCCCTTGGGGCCTTTGCGATTTAAAGCCCTGAGTGATACTGCAACTGTTACGAACAAGAGTGTCGCTTACCACCAGGCGCATGACTTGTTCGTCTCGTCACTTTGTATCAATAAAAATAAAAAATTAAAACAGAGGAGAAAAATGTTTTTGTACTCTGGGAATATCCATGCACTTAAGTTGATTATATCCAGTAATAAAAAGCAACTGCATAATCTGTTTTTAAAAAGGAGGAAGGTCTATTAATTATGACTATTTGTAGTTAAAAGCATTACTGACTATTGCATCATTTTATTTTTGAAACCACAGGGAGAATAATGTTTTACACGCGTATGTTTATGTCGCATCACTCACGAATATTTTTGTTTTTGCTTCTAGTTTTCTTCGAAATTCCGTAGTATTACAAAAAAAAAAACAAATGAAGTCGATTTTAAATTTGGAGATTAAACACTGGGAACTTATTTATAAGTACAATTTGCGTTTATAAAATAGGAAAATCAAACCATTTGCGTGGTTACACTTGGACTGTACCGTGATGACTGCGTAGTGCTATTCATAGGATCATTATCTTATTTACCAAATAAACCCTAACGAGTATTGTCGTCGGTAGTACCAGTCGCATGGATTACAGAAAAGAATGACTCGTATGTATTCTAGAGAAGAGTTGTCCATCTAACCTTCGTTTTCCTTATACCTGTTTGTCAGGGGGCCTCTTAGCTTGAGTTCTCCGAAGCATTTTGCTAACCTCTTTGCTGCATAGAGTCACAATGTTAAAATTATCTAAAAAGTCATAAATGATAATTTTTAGAATATATAGTCCTCAGAGAGCATTTTTTAATTAATCATTATAAGTAGTATACAGGTGGCTCATTTACATGGTACATTTTTTTACGTAGACGACATCGTAGTAATTAATTTACCAGGAACTTCAATTCAGTCAGTTAAATCAATTTTTGAAAAATTTCTGTTATTTGATTACATTAGAACATTCTAATCTAATCAAATAGTAGAAATATTTCAAAAAAGTGCAAATATATAATACCATATAATAACTTCTAAACTATTTATTCATTTTCGCGGAATTAATGTTTATTATTACAATGACAACAAAGAACAACTGTACTACTGTAAATGGGCCAGCATGTATATTATACTTAAAATCGGGTAAGTGGTTGTTGCTGTTTTTTAGATTCTTTCCGTTAAAGAAAATGCAAAGGTTTAAAATCATACAGCCAAGTCTTTGTGAATTTTTCTTTTACTATTTTTAAGTAAATAGGCAAACGCCAAGTCTTTCGTTCATTTTATTTTATAGGCATTAAGCTTCGTCTTCGATGGGTCATCAATCGTCATATGCGATTGGAGTCAATTCAGGGTACAGAATTCCAAATCCGGATAAAGTTATAATTACTTGTACGTCAATTCCAAGTATTTTGTCAATGCCGATCTAATAAGATATTGTAATGACATTTGTTAAAAAAAATAAAGTGACAAGTCGTTTATTAACTTTTGACCCTCTGCGTAGATATCTCAAGAGCCCTGGCGACACTGTCCCGAACGACGAAAAATTGTACTACTACTCAGTTTGAATTTATCATAGAAGCTGGAGTACGATTCTTGTGTGGTAGAATAAATGTTACAACAAAAAAAATTAAAAAAGAAAGGTGTTTGTCCATCGCAAACTATTTTTGGCATTCTCAAAACCTTACAACAGACATTAGTCGACCCATAACGCTCGACATGTTGGAGGTAGAAATATTAATTACTGTGATATCGCACGTGAGTTCTTTGAAGGGCAGTTAGTAAGGTAATGGTAAATTTTACTATCACTGGATCATGCAAAATATTGATATAAACATCCATTTTCAGAGAGATTATGTAGATAAACAAGACGACAGTTCAAATACCTTTAATGCTACCTTTAATGCTGAGATGCTACGTTCTCTTTTCTAACTAGCACAAAATATATTTCTCAGTGGAGAAATCAACGATATCTATATACAGTCAATAGTACATCAAGCTTTTGCACTTTCATCCAAATATCGCCTCCAGTGTAACAACGGAACAAGATCCGTCAATGTGTAGCTTGATGTGCAGCCGTCTGTAGAAGAGGAATAAATTATTTTGGATAAGTAATAGATCTTGGTTGAATTGAATGGCATTGTCGCCGTAAACATTGAGGATGTGACATTAATTCCAAATCTAGAAGGTGTGTCAGCGTACAAGAATAGTTTCCTGGTATTTTCCAACCCAAAAAAAACGTATGTCCAAAGCGGTTACCAAACACCAATTTATACACTCTCATAAGATTAAGTCATTAAAACAAAATGACGATTCACTGTCTAGATAAGAATAATTTAGATTTTTTTTAAGATCGTTATGACATTTTGTAGTTTAGTTTATATCATTAGCTAAAACTGCGACTTTCAAAAATACGGTTTTCATCGCTATAGATTGTCAAGTTAAGATGTAAGCATTTTGCAACATAATTGTGTTGTCACTTCACTTAGACGTAGGCATAGCGTCGTCATAAGTAGTTAAGTAATGAGTAAACAATCTTTCTTTTATGATATCATGCAAAGGGGCGAACAAGTCGCGCGCCTGGTGAAAAGCGACATGCCTACTCATAACAAACAGTTGCAGTGCCATTCAGTTTTAAATCGCAAAGATCTGAGGGACATTGCCAGTGCGCCATGTGCCTGTAAACTTCACCAACACTCTTACCCTTCAAAACCGGAACGCAATAGATGCTCATATTACTGCTTGGCGGCAGAAATGGATAACGTGATAGTACCTCCCTGAACGAACTCGTTCACAAGGAACGCTGTTGCTACTAAAATCCATAGAAAATTAAGTAATTATGTAAGAAATCTTAACAAGCTCTCAAAAAATGTCATAGCAAATAAATGTTGACTTAAATGTAACTTTATTTCCCTTACAAATATAATAAAATAGATAACAAATAAGTAAATAGTGAACTCAAGCAATTCATATAACTAAAAGGAGTAATTAAGTATTTACAGTACAGTAAATATTTTCAAACCCGATTACCGGGAAACAACATTAACTAATTGTAATTGTAATCAGATAAATTAGGTACCTACGTAAACATAAATTACTAACGAGATTCAAAATTATTTGTCATAAATTATATATGCATTTAAAAATAGACGATGTAGTTATTAAACTAATGTTATACTTGTACAGTTTGTGACAAAGCGAAAAAACAACATGATTCAGACGAAGGAAGTTAATTTGCCCGCATCCGGGTCTTTGGAGAGTCCACAATTTAAGTTATTGCTCTATTTGTGCATACACTCTTAAATGCTTAATAAAACTAACTGACTTGTGTACTTAAATTAACAAATTTTAAACTTCTTCTTTTTTCAATCACAGCCAAAGTTGAATGGAGTGCCATAGTTTGTGATAATGATGTTTTAAAGTCCAAATGAATGTCCGCTAATTAACGTATGGTGTTCTAATGTCGAAGTTTAGGAATCATTAGGTATAACAGTGCAATTGTTGTAGATTGTATTTTCTCCTGTGACCACATTGTGAAGTTGATTGTCGAAGTTGTGCTGGTTTCCGATCTCTAACTTTCGAAGCAGGCTTCGGACCAGCAGCAGGAGGTATAGTTGGATACCTGAAAATAATGAATTCATGTCGTATAAACATTATAATCCTATTGTCGTGAATAAGGTAGGCCCCTTGTGCCAAAGGTGGTGTTCTGTATAATTGTATTGCTATTAAAAAAACGCAAGGACGCCAGCCCTTGGGTCTCCTATTTGTAAATGAATTCGTCAAAGGTACAGACTTAATTATAGGGAAAAGAGAGAGAGAAAGAGAGAAAAAGTAAGAATGGCCTTATAGTGAAAAAATAAATAAGAATATCAAAGTGAGCAGCTATGGAGAGGTCAAGAACCTGGCTATGAACCACAAGGATTGGAGGAGGCTACACCGACAGGAGCCTGGCTCTTAAATATGATGAAGATAGACTTAATTGTCTTGAACTGCCTCTATTTCCTATATCTGTGACTGCCACGCAGACATTTCGGTGTCGATTCCCGGGCCGGCAGAAATATTTGTATGACCTACATTTATTTGTCTCATGAGTTTGGGTGTGATTTGCGGTTGCCTATTTGTGTGTCCACCATGGACATGCCATGCCAAGCACCCGCAATACAAGGTTTCCTAGTACGTGGATGTGAGTGCACGAGTTAAAAAAAAATTATGACATATCAAAGTTATTTTCACAGCACAGAACAATCATCACCCTATATTTATTGTAAATAAAATTGATATTAACTTTAAAGGGCATAAATTGTTTTTATTTGTCAAACAACTATGCTCTACCCAATTAAGCGATATTTTCTTATTTCTCTAAGTCGTGTTGATGCGAAGAGGAGCAAGCTATAACAGTATGTTTAGTATTTGGAAGGTTTTGTTGACTTCAATATACTTCCTACTTCAAAAATTTTCGGCGTCAGTAATTCGGCTGTTCATCGAATATAAATGTTTGTATGACATTTCCGATATTCACGTATGTCTTTGAAATTGTCATAAAGTATCGAGATTAAATTTATTTTATTTATTTATTTGTACATACAAAACTTTGTTTTCTAGTTTTGTAACAAGTAATAAAATTAGCTATAAAAACTTACAGCCAATTACTTAACTAGGTTAGAGATAGAGCTTACAATAGAAATGATATTTTATACTTACATAGTCCAGCAAAGGAAAGTATTAGATCCTGCACTATTCTAGCAGGATAGGAAATTGCTTCTATGATTTCCAGCATTATCGCTGCTATACAGGTCATGATTGTATAGTAGTAGAACACCTTCAAGAAACTTGTCACTTTCTGGAAACAAAAATGCGGCCGAATGTTTGTCGAAATTTTTCCAGGCTGTTAATTAGCTAATTAAACACATGTGTTTCACTGTTGTTGTACAAATGTAATGCCTCCAAATAAAGATAAACACAATACTTAGTTATAAGTTTTTTTTATATTTTGTAAGATATGATATTTTGTATTATATATTTTTTTTTTATTTATTTTGTATTATATTTTGTAAGATATTTGGTAGATGAGATATTTTGTAAGTTCAGAAGGAATGAATGGCATAATATTTTTGTATACTTTTTTCTTAAAACAATAAAATAAATAACTATTTCATACTAAAAAAGCCATTTTCTTCTAATTGGAATCATACAAAGTTTTTTGTATAATTCCAATTAGAAGAAACTAACAACCTCACAGGACTATAATGCCAACTTCATAAACAACCACTTTTGTTCCATGACTTTTACAAAACGTAATAAATTTACTAAAAATAAACTTTTTGGTAATTTTCAGGTTAGTTTTCTGTACCTAATTCTGTAAATAATTAATGCTTAAATCCCTTTTAAGTTTTTATTGTACTTCATGGCATTTTTTAAATCTATATTTAGCAACGCCTCTTGCTGTCATTCATAAAAAAGAATTTCGGTGGCGGGGGCTTTCTTTTGTTACCGTACAGAGTTATCACCAATTAGAGCGACCCATTAATTATTTTTTATTTTTGCATGAAAGTATAATCTCACGAATTATTAAAAGGCATGGAACAGAAGTTATTTATGATGATAGTAATATTGTCGTGTGAGGTTGTTAGTATTTTACAAATAACCCTGTATAGGTAGAACACATCGAGTACCTATACATATAACCAGAAATAGAGACGAAATAAGGGCCATCCATCCCTGGCAACTCATCAGGCAAATAGGCCTTATATCACTTTTAAATATCAACTCTCGTTTGCACTGAAGTCACAAATTAGAAAGGTGAAATTGTACAGCGCCAGCAACTGACCTATATGTACATCTCCGTATATTCCAAAAATATTCTGTATTTATTGTAATAAAGATAATATCTCTAACTATGGGGGTCTGTTCCATTCGGTGGTGTGGGAAAAACAGCAAAACATCTAAGTGCAAAACAAACAGAATCACATTTCATCGGTAATTAAATACTAAATATGTAATTTTAAAATTTTCGTCCATTATAGCAAAGCTCAAGTCAAACTGGTCGATTTGAAGTGAAACAATTGACGACACCCGTCAATGAAGGCCAATCGGAGCGCAGTTGTCATCGTAATGATAAGGCAGAATAGTTTTCAAACAAATTAAATGACATTTCGTCTCTATTTCCGGTTACATACTCGATGGTAGAACATAAAGAATAAACTTTGACAAATATTCCAAAAAGGAAAACTGTTCCGAACTTGTCGTTCTTCATTTTTTAAATAAACGACTGTAAGTAAACAGCGGACAAGATCCGCTGCTAGAACGTAGTGTCAGATGCGGTCAGTTCCTAACCAATTCATAAGTGAGTATTTCGAACATACATTTTGTTTTCAGTACAAGTGTTTTTTTTTACCTACCTGATGAGCTCCGTAAACAAGTAAGCAATTGATGACAACATCGACACAGAAGATAAACAAGATTAGCTCGGACATTGTTTCAGTGGTGACGCCATGGAAGATTATGTAGCTCTGTTTCAAGTCTCCGTGGTGCACCCAGTAGCTGTACAGACCCACCATGAACGCTGAGTAAAGCTGAAACAATACAGAGAATCGGATATACCTTTTATAATATTTTTATCTAGTAATCATCCATCTCAATAACTATATGAGGTTAATAAAGTTATTTGACGTGCTAATTTTTAAAACAGGAAAAGTCAGGAATGAAAATAGTGTGTGACGATGCTGACCTCCTTCATTATCATCACAATTATTTATTTAGAATTTTGAATCGTTCTTGAATTCCCTTTTCTTTCACTATTCTTACGTTTGTTCTATCCGTTGTCACTCCTATCAAAATTCTTTACCCAAAAATAACAAATCCCCTTCATTTCCATATTGTCAAACCTCACGTCGATTACTAATAAAATTATGTAGTTACATAGGCCCTTTTGAGGTGAGTATTGTGTATTGTGTAATTTAGTTTTATAGGGAGAGTTTAATAATAATTGTTCTTTTTAACAGACTTTAAAAAAGGAGAAGGTTCTCAATTTAACTTTGTGTTTTTTGTATGTATGTTACGTGATAACTCCAGCATTGGCGAGCCGATTCTGAGGATTCTTTTTTAGTTGGAAAGGGGTAAAGAGTGTAGTAGTCTCATTTAAATTTGAAGAAAATATTCCACCTCTAAGGGTGGCTAACTAGGAGATGAATGACTTTTGGGGTAAGTTTTTTAGTACTCTTTACTGAAATTATTTGTCATTATCGTTTTATTATTTGTTGAAGCTTTCGTTTTCTTCTTTTATAATCTCTTTCAATAAATCTTGTGGATCGTAACTTCAGCATTCTCATTTCTCTAAGGCTTGGCCACAAGTGTATACTATTGAGTTGCAATTGCTTTGATGTAAACTGTACTTTGATATCGATAGAGCTACCAAGGAACTATCATTACGGAACTATATATAATATACGGACGGAGCGACGAAAAAACTTAACAAAAAAAATTAGACACACGCTTGGCCACAATGTCACCTGATGTTAAGCGACGATGTGACCGACGATAGGACGCGTTTGCCTAAGAAATGCCTATTCACTCTTGTCTTGAATAGCCCCAAATTGTACTTATCGGGAAATACAGATGGTAGAGCATTCCATTCCTTTGCCGTACGCATCAGAAAGGAGGAAGCAAAGCGCTTAGTGCGAACAGGTGGAATATCAACGACATAAGAATGGAGTGCTCCGGACCTTCTAGTCGACCGAAAGAGGAACGGTGAGGGTGGAACTAAATTGAAAACTTCCTGCGCACACTCCCCGAAATGTATCTGATAGAAAACCGACAAGCAGGCTACTTTTCTGCGATTTTCGAGATTTTGTAGCTTCGAATCCACAAGAGAATTATTATTAATAAGTCTCTTTGCTTTTCGTTGCACTGAGTCCAAGGCAGCTAACTGGTAATGGGCAGAGCCGTCTCAAAGGTGGCAGCAGTACTCCATACACGAACGAACTTGTGCTTTATACAGACATAAAAGCTGTTCAGGTGTGAAGTACCGCCTGACCTTGTAAAGTATGCCTAGTTTTCTAGCAGCAGTTTTTGCCAAGCACTCGATGTATCACCCAAAGTTGATGTTGGATGATAAGTCCAGACCAAGTAGCTCAAGGCGGTCCCCTATAGGCACGGATACATCTCGGAAAGTCAGAGTAAGGTGTAGGGGACTTCGTTTTGATGTGAAAAGACACGCCTGTGTTTTAGCCGCATTAAACCTGACTCTGTTAGCATCTCCCCAGTCGGAAGCCGCTTTCAGACTCAGGTTCAACCGGGTGACCATCGCCTCTCGCTTACTCTGGATCTCTTCGCTGTTGTCTCGGGCGTCTGGCACATAATTCTCTACCACTGTGCTGTCGTCTGCGTACCCAAAGATACCGGGCATCAGCAGCAGGTCGTTGATATGCAGCAAGAATAGAGTGGCGGAGAGGACAGATCCCTGAGGTACACCGGCAATTATACCATGAGGAGCTGACGAGTAACCATCTACAACTACACGGATTGACCTATCCTTCAGAAAATCGCCTATCCATGTGCAAAAGCCAACAGGAATTCTGTAAACTGGAAGCTTGTTTAACAGGCTATCGTGCCAAACCATATCAAAGGCCTTTGATATATCGAGAGACACGGCAAGCGACTCACCGCGTTTCTCGAGAGCCTGACCTCATAAATGTGTGGCATACGCAAGAAGATCCCCAGTAGATCGATCACGGCGAAAATACTGTCGATCACTGAGGAGATCGTTATTTTCGAGGTATCCAAGGAGACGTCTATTCAATACGCGCTCCATAGTCTTACAGAGTATGGAGGTGATTGCGATAAGTCGATAATTAGATGGGTCGGTATTACCTTTCTTGGGTACAGGCTATACATTTGCAAGCTTCAGCTTCATAGAGAGACGATACAGGCAAGTCAACACCGGAGACAACTTGAGTGCACAGTTCCGCAGGACAATCGTTGGGATTCCGTCAAGGCCACTCGCTTTGTTGACGTCTAATTTGCGTAAAGTTTTCAACACCTCTTTTTGACGGATAGTCATCTCGGGCATTTCCGAGTCACAGCGAGGTAGTGTAGGTGGTGTTTGCAAAGTAGCGTCAAGACGGGAGTTGAAAGGAAATAGAGAAACAAAAAGATTTGCTTTCTCTTCAGCGGTGTGAGCCAGCGATCCGTCAGCTCTCATTAAAGGCGGGAGGGATGACCTGCAGAAATTTTCTTCGACCGATTTTGCGAGCGACCAGAATGCTTTACTCCCTGAAGGGTATGAAGCTAACCTGGCGTCAATACGACTAATATGGTCAAAGCGAGCTTTCCGTATCGCTTTTTTGCAGGATCTAGCGGCTTTATTTGGCTTTCTTCAGACGGAGGGTTTCCGGTGCTTTGCGATCTCGTGCATCAGCCCAAGCGTGGTACGCAGATTGCTTAAGCGTTTCCGCAGAAGCACACTCAGTGTGAAACCAAGGGCGAGCTTTGCCACTGGAGGAGACTTCGAAATACGGAATAAAGTATTCCTTAGCCCGAATAATCACCTCAGAGACGGCAGACGCGCAGCACGTCGGATCGTCAGAAGATAAGCACAGCTGCCGCCAGGGATAAGATGCAAAGAAATGCCGCATCGCATCCCAATCTGCTGACTTGTATCGCCACATCCTCCTAGTACTTCTCGTACTGAGATCGGGTGAGGAGTAGACAGATACAGATTTCACCAGACAGTGATCGGATGTCCCTAGTGGGGACGGGACCGATACTTGATAGCGGTTTGGATCGGTTGTCAGCAGAAGATCCAGGCAATTGGCTGGGTGGTCGTCAACGTTCGGTATCCTCACCAGCTGGGTGAGGCCTAGTGATAGAGCACATGCCCGCGCCTCTCTTTCAGCGTGGTCGGTTTTTTGTTATGGGAACACCCATTCCTGGTGATGGGCAGTCCCCCAAAAAGACAATTTGCGCTGTAGGATACCGTTGTTGGACTGTTTCCGCTGAGCTGCAGAGATAGTTGAACAGCCTAGTCGTCTCCGGGTCTCCAGAATGCGACCGGTACACACTGGCTTAGACAATTTGTTCCAGTCCAGTGTCCACCAAAACCCACATTACAGACAGATCGGGGTCTTCAAGGTCACGGAGACGTTTAGAACAGATGTCATCACGAGCGTAAACGCAGGTACCAGCGCGCTGCTTAAATTTGTGCTCCAGAATGTAACCTGGGTAATGCAGGTACGCTGTGTCGGAAGGACATCTAATTTGGGTCTTCGTGAGGAAGAGCATGTAAGGCCTTTCAGTCTCAAGATGGTGGTGGACAGATGTGAGTGAGTGCAGACCTCGGATGTTTGAGAGGTGCACTTTAAGTGAAAGGACGTGCATCCGCTGTTTAGCCTTCCTCAATTTCATCCGATCGCCAACCGGCACGATGGAGTACGAGTTGGCGGGGCAGCCTTTCACTGGAAGCTAATAAGCTAATTGGGCCCCCTACTACCTGCGATCGGCCAGCGGAGCACCGTGCTGCGTATCCCGCTACCCTCTGCGTCTAGGTTCCCAGCGCAACAACAAGGGAGCCCCGAGATCAACTAAATCAGTGCAGTGTAACTGTACAAACCCTTCACTCTAGAGCGGCTACTCTGGGCGTCAAGCCGGAACACAGCCATAACTGTTTGGCGGCTAGGCTTCGCCCAGAGGGTAGTCACCAGACACGACCAGAATTTGTAGCTTATTTGGCACCACCCAGGGGTCACGTGTAGCATCTCGAGGGTACAGCCTACGGACGCGAGCTACTTAACCCCCAAAACCTTCATGAAAAAAACATCAATGGTTCATGATTGTGCATATTGACGGTTCCGGTTTTGAACGGTAAGGATGCTGGTGAAATTACTGGCACATGGGACTTGTCAACGTATGCCTGAGGGTGACGGGCGCAGTGGCAGTGCCCCACAGATCTTTGCGATTTAAAGCTTTGAGTGGCACTGTAACTGTTATGGACAGGCGTGTAGCTTACGACTTGTTAGTCTCGTCACTTGATATTATATATAAAAAAAAACAATCATTTCCACGTTCTTCTACTGATATCAATATCTAGTAGATAACTACACTTCGCCATAAAGTAAAAAACTTGTATATCGGCCGTGACCGAGAAGCAAAGTCATAAGGTTATCGATTTACGCGTAATGCAAAGCGCTCTTTCTCAATAATTCTTCACTTTTGTTTTGTGTTAAGAAAATTCCGTAAAACTCTTTCTATGTATTGGAGAAGATTCATTGATATCTGTGAAGAGATCTGCTCTATGTTAGCAAGTGCTGCAGTTCATATGAAAATGAAATTTCCTCTTTCAATCGGCTTTCTTAGCCTGTTCATGTACATGTTATTTCAAATAATTTCATGTAATTAAGTAATATATAATGTACTTTCTACGTTGCATTTCCAAGAATTCACTTAAAATAACAAATAAAGATAAGCATTTTCCATAATGCTCCTTACCCTAAGTTTAATAAGTGATACTCCGTTAAACAGTTCTCTTTGCGTAGGTACAGAAGCTAGTATCCGTTTCTATAAACACATAATTGTATTTGAAATTTATACTATTTATTGTTTATGTAACGAGTAAAAATAAACGGACATTAATTTAAATTTAAAGTTATCTCTAGAAAAAATCGACTATCAAAGGTTATTTTTTGGTAGCATTTCTAGAAACATGCTCACGCTCTCTCTCTCTCTCAATTTATTTCCTTCGGAAATAGGTTTCCTACTTGCACACACTAATACCAGTATTTGTTTACAATCTCATATTATCCATATGCAATCTTTTTTCATAATACCGCTAACGTATCTAACATTTACAAATGGTGTCTACTAACTTAACTAACAATGGTTAAAAAGACAATATTTGAAATATATCAAAAGTGTTATAGTTAAAAATTGTAAACCAACTTCCCGAATCGACTTGTACTTACCACATTAATATATCCAAATATCAAGATCCCCTTTCTCAACGGCAGGCAGAGGCAACACCGTCCAAAATCAGGAATATCGCAGTACATTTTGGCACTAATATAAATTAAGAAACAGAAAGTAATTCAATGTAACAAATGTATTTTTTAAATTAATCAAGATTGAAATAAATAAATTTATAGGATGCGCAAGAGTGGACGGGACGCCTCGTTGGTGCGAACAACAGGACTGTCCGTTTCGCCCATTTGCGACCATTTATCTAATGTATCCATTGTATACAGGGTGTAGGAAGATTAATGGGATTGCGTGTCTGGTCTATTCCTATAGATGTGTGAGTTTAACGTAATAATGTGTTTGCAAATTATAGTTAATATTGTTCTTTAATTTAAGATCAATAATTATCGTTTTAGTAGCAACGTATTTTTTATTTTGCTCGATTTTCTCAAAGCAATCCGCTTATCTAAAGACAATATGATTATAACCGCTTTCAAACAAAGGAGGAGGTTCTCAGTTTTTTTATATATAATACCAAGTGACGGGACGAACAAGCCGTGCGCCTGGTGGTAAGCGACACGCCTAGTCATAACAGTTGCTGTGCCACTCAGAGCTTTAAATCACAAATATCTTAGAGGCACTGTCACTGCACCCGTCATCCTAACATTTTTTTTTATATTTATGACATCAAGTGACGGGACGAACAAATGGTGTGCCTGATGGTAAGCAACACGCCTGTTCATAACAGTTACAGTGCCACTCAGAGCTTTATATTGCAAAAATCTGGGGGGCACTACCACTGCGCCCGTCACCCTGAGACAAGTTGACAAGTCCCATGTGCCTGTAATCCCACTCATCACCAGCACCCTTACCATTCAAAACTGGAACACAGTAATGTGGACATTACTGGCTAGGTAGCAAAAACAGGTAAGGTGACAGTGTACTTCCCTGGACGGATTCTTTCACAAGGACTTCTACTGCTATTAAAATGCATTTTCGTGTACATGTTATGCGATTACTCCAATGTTTGTGAAACGACTTGGATGATTCTTTTTTTGTTAGAAAGGGCGTACCTCAGTAGTGGTTCCATTTAAATTTAAAGAAAATATTCCACCTCTAAGGGTGGCAAATTAGGGGATGAGTGCGGATTATTGAATTTCACCCACTTTCCGTTAACTGATTTCAGTAAAATTTGACAAGTAGATGTAATTCCACAAGCGTTTGAGGTCTGTTTTTACATAACAAAATAATTATTTTATTTTATTATTTTGAAGACCACTTATACTTTTATCTCTTAACTTACTTACGAACGAAAAAAAAGGTAGTCCAGGCAATATATAAATATCTGGCATAATTTTTATGCTCCGGTGGTACATGAACCCGTTATTAGTAATTGATATAAAATTTACATAACTCTTGAACCTCGGTAATCTTTGTTTACTTTCTAATCTCTACAATCTAAACAACATCTACAGTAAATGTAAGAATATGTGATTCTAAATCATGCCATTCGAAATGTCTTTAACAACTCTAAGAATCTGTATTTCAGATAGATTTCATCCTAAATTACTTTGGTAGATACTTATCAAGTCTAGATTTTATGCTACAGATTCTCGTCCTGTATAATATTTTGCGTAGATAGTATATAAAAGCGAGTTTTAAACAAAATATCGTTATTTTGTTTGTTACATTTTAACAAAACAACGAATTTAATAAACAGATGATAAAAGTGCATAATTAAATCACTGTATTGACACGATAATGAAATTACGAGATAATGAAATTACGAATAGAGTTTTAAATTCTGGGAAATACTGATATGAAAATAAATGGTGGTTTTGTTTATTTTGGACTTTCCGCATTATGTTAACTTAGTTTGCTTGCTTTATTATTTATTTACTTATGGAAATAAATTCCACGTATTACTTGGAAGTGTAGCAGCTATCGACATAACATGTCATCTGAAATACAAGTATCCAGGAATATTAAGGTGAGGGAGTGGAACCCGAATACATCAGAGTATCCCTAATTTATTCAGATTCGGTTGGGTGTTTCTACTTGTTTATGTATAAAAAATTCTTGACTTTGTTCGATCTTAGTACAAGATTAATAACAATAAACCAGTGGAATACTTTCACAAAAAAATTAAATAAATATTGCAAATATAATGATAAAATCATTATAATGATAAAAAAGAAGGTAATTGTTGCAAGAAGATTTTACGTTAATACATATTGTCTTCACTTTAGTAAAATTGAAAATGACATCACTTTTACAGATTTATAAACAATGTACACATCACTTTGACAGCATTTATCATTTACTCACATCATACATTAAGTAGGTATCTAAAAACGCTTATACCTAATTTATAAAATATTTACGTAAGTGGATTCGCGTTGGTTTCCCGTATTTATTTTTATAATAGGTTTCTAACCTTTTTCGTAACAAACGCCGCATTGTGACACGTGTTTTTTTTGTCTAAAATTGCTCACGTTAGCTACGATTTAAACGCTAGCCGTGTTATGATTGTAACATTTGGTATCACAGCGAGCGGAAACTATATTTTCCTAACTATCCGTCGCTGATTCATGATTCAATAGTGACGACATCAACATCATTTTCGAATATACTGTTTTAATACGAACATGTTGTTATATACCTACACAACATTTTCAACTAAAAATAAACGAATTATTGTATCTCACGTCTGATTCCCGGCATGTATTTTGTACCCGAGTTTTTAACAAAGCTACAGAGAAAATCCGACATTGTCAGCCATTAAACTTTGTATCAATGTTGATTTGATTGCGCTCAGAACAGTTTGTTGTCAGCTATAATGAATAGCCATTTCTCCGTTTTGTTGACTTGAAAGAACTACCAAATCCACTACTGTGACAACATAAAGTGTAGGTACCTAAGGAAAGAGTTATCATTCGAGCGCCACACTCGCAATAATCGCAATAAAGATACAATTTATCACACAGGAAGTTGCTTAGTTGCTTTCTGCTACATTCACTTCAAAATAAAGAATCCCTCAAGATACAAAATGTGTACAGATCTGTTCGTGACGTTTCCTGCGGTGACGAAGTTCTTGTTATTCTTCTCTTTGCGAACGGGATGCATTGTGAATCTCTTATATACTTCCGTAAATATTTAATTTATTCTTTTTATTGTACTGAGTAGGCTTAAATTTTAGCAATCGATAGTTACTGTAATAGAAGTTCTGATAAGCTGCCCATAATATAAGAACTTTTGAAGAAGATTTTGAAGGGTAAGTGTGCTAGTGAAATTACAGCCACATGTAAGTTATGTCGCAGGATGACGGGCGCAGGGGCAGTGCCCCTCATCAGATCTTAGCGATTTAAAGCTTTTGAGTGGCACTGCAACTGTTACAGACAAGCGTGTCGCTTACCACCTGCCACACGGTTTGTTCATCAACACTTACTATCATAAAAAAACAATGCCCGAGAGGCACGTATCCTATGACTAAAATTTTTAAGTTACGTATAATTAACAGACTCCTAGAAGTCTTAATCCTTATTTCCATTTTTATTGCTTCGTAAATTTGTTGAGAGTTTCGTTATATACGAATATCTTATATCTTTCTCGTTAACGGCGAAGGAAAACGTGATGTAACTTGCACGTCAAAAAATTCCGCTGCCCTTGCAAAATGTTTAAAGTTTCCACATGGGGCTAGCGAAACGGACTATGGTCTAAACGCACACAAAGAGACCTGTGCCTAACAGTGAGACTTTTTGTATGGAACTACTTTTCCTAATTTTATGCCAAATGACGATGAGACGAACAAGTTGTGCGCCTGGTGGCAAGCGACACGCCCGTCACTGCAGTTGCAATGCCACTGTGAGCTTCAAATCGCAAAGAACAGAGGACACCATCTCCACGCCCATCACCCTAGATATAAGTAGGCAAGTCTCATGTGTCTGTAATTTCACCAGCACCCTTCAAAACCGGAACGCAATAATGCTCTTATTACTGCTTGGTGGCAAAAATAGCTAAGGTGGCAGTACTCCCCTGGACGAACTCCTGCTTCTAAAATACGACGAATGATGTGTTTATGACGTAGTCTATAATATTGTCCATATTTTATCAATGACAAATCATATCTAAGTTATGTTTCACTGAGCTATGATTAATGTCTTAGGTAATTTTATAGTTCTATTTTTTTCCAACAGGCCCGTACGTCTCTCTTTATACTATTCACAGTAATAGCCATGTTAGAGACTCTGGTCTCTCCATCATCAGCAATGGGAAGAATAGTGGCAAATTCTACGACGTCCCTCGATCCTGCCACTGTTTATTGCCTGTTCTTCAGCTATCAAGTTTTAATAATTGCTGAGTCCTTTCTGCTTATATTTTGCATGCATTTAACTTTGGCCATATTGTATGTTAGTATAGTTTTTCTTTTGCATTACGCAATCTTGGTGTAATAAGGTCGCATCTAAAGTTTCTACGAACAGATTCAACGATTCTTCGAACGGAATTAGTAGATAACTTTTAGTATAGTTGAAGAAATATGATTTGCACCGATGAATGTTATCTCTAGGAACGGCTTGTCCTTTCTATTACAATAGGGTAATAAAACCATTAACATTTGCTTTACGGAATTTTAGTTTTCAATTATTTCTTTACTCAAATTTCGTTTTTTTTTAACAGTACAATATCGACTGCCGACTGTTTTCTTACAAATTGAACAAGTCATTTACGCATAAAGATTATCAACTTTAGAATTAAGTGCCAATGCGCAAAAGTATTTAACTAGTTTGCTTGCACTATACAGATGCCACGTGCGTTACCGAGACGGTTCACTCTTTTGTCCTATTGTACTTTAAAGACGAATCGATGCAAATAATATTTCGCCAACTATACTTAAATGTTCGTATTATTTTTATGACAAGTCGATGTCTTACTATCTCAAACACTGATCTTATAAATAATGATTATTCGGGAGACGGCAAACCTTTGTATTTATTTTAAATTTCTTATCAAGGATGTTAATTTGGATGCATTTCTTTAAGAATAAGTAAAAGCCAGTGTGTGAATATGAAGGAAATGTGATGTGAAATCAGACTGCAAAATTTGTACATACCTACAAAGCATTTTGTGCATTTCAGTTACTTTGTGCTTTAAGATACGAGTTTGAGAAAGTAAGGCGACGAAATGCATTTTTGACATATGATAGATAGATAAAACGTTTATTCAGCACAAATACAAGTAGAAATAAACATTTACTATTTAACATATATACAAGGTATAACACAAAAGAACATAAATTGTAGGCCAGTTAATGGTGAAAGTAAAGAAAAGCAACTAAATGGTGTATAAATCGAAACGAATGTATACTTAAACGAACTTCATGAAACATACTATATAACATACATACATATTGCTGTGTATTAAATATATAGTAATATACAACACATGGAATATGCTCGTGATACATATTTATAACCGATATTATACATATTATTACATACTTCTATAAATTAGTAATTAGTCGTAATTAAATGTTACAGAACAAATTGTACCACTACGAGTATTTTATAACTTGTCGAACATCCACGTGGTTGGTTGAAACCAGTTGCTTGATAATCCTCTGTGTACAACACAGGCCTTTGCTCGGCTGGTATCTCCTTATGCTGCTGTCAGTCAGTAAGTACCTCTAAGAACTATTTTTCATTTACTGCTGGCTACGGATTTTGAGACGTGTTAGAAAACATATTATTATGTCCACTAGTTTATTTTTTCATGATACGAAGTGACGGGACGAACATGTCACGCATCTGGGTGGTAAGCGACGCGCTTATCCATAGTTTTTGCAATGTCACGCAAAGTTCTGAGGGGTACTGCCACTGTGCTCGTCACCCTGAGACATAAGTTGGCAACTGTATTTTCACCAGTTACCCTTCAAAACTGGAACGCAGTAATGCTCACATTACTGGTTGAAATATTAAATAAACATTAGACAACATCACACACGTTAACGTAAGTAAGTAACTAAAGCGCTTGGTTATGAAAATTGTAAACAAGGGCGGTACCACAAACACCCAGACCCGAGACAATATACAAAAGTTTTTCTACATTGAACTGGCCGGGGATCGAACTCGAGACCTCAGAGATGGCGACAACATGAAAACCGGTGTACAGGCCACTCGATCACGGAAGTCGATAAAAGATATGAAGGCAGAAATAGGCAACGAGGCAATACTTCCCTACATAAACTTTTTCACAAGGAACTCTACTGCTACTAAAGAAAACTTCAGCTTGCCTAATTCAACATGGCCTGTAATTTCACCAGCACCCTTACCCTTCAAAACTGAAACGCATTAATGGTCACTACTGCTGGGCGGCAGAAATGGATAGTGTGGCAGTACTTCCCTGGATGAACCTTTCTCAAGGAGCTCTATTCTTACTAAACTACCTATTTCTACCGCAAAGCTGCAATGCTGTGTTGCACCGGAATGAACGGTGTGAGAGAGAGAATGAATGAAGGGTAGAGACAGCCATCGCAATCACAAAAACAGGACATTTGAGATCTTATAATCTCATTGAGGATCAAAATTAGTAAGCATCCTTCTTTGGTACAGTAAACATTTGTAGACGGCGGTAATAACTTGATTATCAAGTTATCTGAATGTCTGTTTACCTATTTACGACAAAAATATTTTCTATAGCTTGTTTAAATGCATATCTACCATAAATCAATGAAAATGTTGAATATTAATTAATAAATACTTCAGGGTACACATGTACACTTTTTTCAACAATTTTTCACTGGCTGAATCAGCCGCGAGTGAACCAGTTTAGCGATTCCATTCATACCTTCTCAACCTAGGTGTTTTAAGGCCATATTTGCAACGTGACTTTTCAGGAGAGAGGAAACGAAATTATCCGATAAATATGCTTCTATAGTAGAGTTATAAAATTTCACTACATGGTTTCATGTGATAATAAAATAATATACAAAGAAACCTACGAGTTTAGAATTTATTTAATTTAATAAACTTTGATTTCAGTAATTGAATTGTACTTTTGTATGGTGGTACTTAGTCAGTATAAAATAAAATTATTAGAAGAGCACCTACGGAAGAAACCCATTGACAGAAAAGCTATCACAGAAAAATTTTTAAGTCTTGTGTACTGACATCTGGAGACTAAACGCGACAACAAATAAGGGCAACACGGATTGAATCACATCGTGGACAGCCGCTCCCTTTATGTACGTGTTCTCATCTCAAGAACTCTGAAGTAGAGATTTTATTTGTTTATCAAGCTTAGGTGAGAAAACCGGCCCACTACAATTTCTACTTGTGCTTAATTCTTGTATTGTATGATTTTTAAATGTTATATTTTGTATTTTTTTATGTAAGTTTATTTTTTAATTTGTGTTTTTACTATTTATAACATACTTTGTGCTTTTTGTGTTAGTACACTTTTTATTATTCTTGATAGGTTGATTTAGGTATTCTTATTTATAGTTTAATTTTTTTTAAAGTTCAATTGAAATGTTTTTGCTAACAACGAGCGTTTATTATAACATTAAACTTAGTCTTTTTCGTTTACCTTTTTATTCCAAACTATACAATCGAGTATAAAAAAGTACACATTAAATAATAAATATCATTTACATCTTGTTTTTGGTGCAAAACTAGATGACTCTGTTTTCAATTTACTCTGTGCAGATTTGGTTTATGCATCACTGATTTCAGACAGCCGTGGTAGCGTATAAGCATGGTGTCCGCCCAGTTACCATGCCTTCACGTACATTGATGGCGAACCTGAATTCTGTTTACTAGGCAACAACATTTAAATTCCCCTGAATAATACAACCGCGCGTCCGCCGCGCGGGCCGCTGCGTAGACAAAATTCAAGCCAGTCTTGCCGGTGTGGCCGGGACGCTCATTTAAGACATCGTAAAAGCTAACCAGATAGAGCGTATTTTGCCGTGACATACGCACGCGGTCGCTGCGCGGCGGCAGCGCGGATTCTGCTGTGCGACCTCGCGAGGTGAGCGCGATGAAAATCGTGTCGAATAAATGAGCCTCAATGGTTTGACCTTGAAGACAAAAGTGTCCGAGCAGTGCGTGTTGCCAGCGATGACTTACGACTCTGAGACGTGGTCACTTACAATGGGCCTCATAAAAAAGCTCAAAGTCACTCAACAAGCTATGGAGTGAGCAATGCTCGGCATTTCTCTACCTTATCGAATCAGAAATGAGGAGATCCGTAGAAGAACGACAGTCACCGACATAGCTCGAAGGATTAGCAACTTGAAGTGGCAGTGGGCAGGGCACATAGCTCGTAGAACTGACGGCCGTTGGGGCAGAAAGGTTTTTGAATGGAGACCACGAACCGGAAGGCGTTCAGTGGGACGGCCCCCTACTAGATGGACGGATGACCTGATGGGGGCCGCGGGTAACCGATGGATGCACGTGCGCCCGATCGGCTGGTCTGGAAATCTTTGGAGGAGGCCTATGTTCAGCAATGGACGTCCTCCGGCTGATATGATGATGATAATAATAATAATAATAATAACATTTATTCCTCCACAAAAATACGTACCTACATATTGTTCTTAGTAATTTAAGATACATACAATAACTTATTTTTGGGAGCTGGTGCTTGTTAAAGGCTTAACGCCTGTAGGTACTACAAGTCACCAGGCTCTCACCCTTGGAAATGACACATGACAATCTTAAGGTATTACTATGATGAATGGTTTGACCTATCGCCTCTCCAGCAGAGGGCCGAGTTTTCGGAATTTATGTGCGAAATTTAATTTGAAATTTTCGGTGAAGCAGAACATCGTCATGAAACCTGTACGTCGAAGAAGGTGCACAACTGACGGAAAATGTGGGAAATACATAACCCGCATCAAGTCAGCGTGGCGGACTATGGCCTAAACTCCCGTTTCTGAGGAGACCCGTGCCCATCAGTGGGGTGTATAAATGGATTGATGATAAATGATGATGATGATCTTAAACAGTACATCCCGGGTAGGAACGGTGGTCTCACAGTGGCGCGCCAAATTCCTCTATTTCCACTGGTTCAGTTGTCCAACACATTTGACAACATAGTACAGACCATTCCCCTATTAGCAGCGAAGCGAGTAAAAAGCCCACGTATATTTAAAAAAAAACTAACATGGCGTTATGACCCCCTGCTGAAAAATGTTTTTTTAACTGCTAAAAATGCTTCAAATGCACTCTTTGTAAATTGGATATGAGTTTAAGAATCCTTATCCATCACTACTTTTTTTGCACCTTTTAGATATATTTATAGCTTGCTGCCTATTAATTATTTTTCTAAGACAAGGAAAGTGGAAAGACATGGTAAATACGCACCATTGGTGTAAGGCCATATCTGCAATGGAGCACGATGCGCACAAAAAATACTACAATTTGACAACTTTTCAGGACAGAAGTTCTAAAATTCTACGAACGAAACAATCGATAACTTTTTATGCCTAAATAGGATAGTTACAAAAATTTAAAATGTTACCGTGCTGATCTGCCACTCAGATGCTTCGCGTTCGATTCGCGAACCGGAACAAACATTTATATGGCCTCGGTCATTCTCGGACTAGTGTTCACCGCCTAATTTTCCTGGCAATTTTTATTATTTTATTTAATAATTATCCGTTAATTTACTTGATAATCTCAGTACAGAGTACTAAAAAAACCGACCTCAAAAGTACGTGGAATTACGTCTATTTGCTAAGTTTTATTGCAATATCCCCTAGTTCGCCACTATACAGGACTTGACACACGATAGAGATATAGTTTTAGAATTAGACATCAAACTTATAAAATCTAAAGACAAAGTATCCCAAGTTTTTGAATCGTTGTTTTCGGAAATTGCTGTGAACACTACAAAATCATTAAATTCCTCCCCTTCACTTGCTATTGATCTCCTAAAGGAAAATGTTAATGCTTGTGTAAATGTTTTGCGGCAGTTTATTTAATTTCCGTCATGTTAATCCACAAGACATCATAAAAGCTTTTAAATCAATACATGTTAAAAAAACTGATGATCTCTGAGGCATGTCAACTAAAGTTATAGACTCAGTTATTGATCTTATTTTCCCACAGTTAGCTGTAGCTTTCAATAGGTGCGTTGACGAAGGTGTTTTTCCCGATTTAATGAAATACAGCAAGGTTATTCCCTTATTCAAAAGCGGTAGGAAAGTTGATACTAGCAACTATAGGCCCATTTCAATTTTACCAGCTTTAAGTAAAATATTCGAAAAGGTTATGCTAACTCAATTACTGTCCTATTTCTGTAGGAATCATATTTTTCATAGTGAACAATACGGGTTTACTAGTGGTAGATCGACTAGCGATGCGGGGGTAGCGTTGCTAAAACACATCCCTTCAAAATACTATTATTATATACTATATATTGCTAAAACACATATTCTTCAAAAACGTGCACTAAGAACAATAGTAGGCATAAAAAAGGGTCAGACCTGCAGAAACCTTTTTAAGAAATACAATATAATGACCATGTACTCACAATATATTTATGATATAATAGTTTATGCGCGTCAAAACTTGGCTACTTATGAGCGACGTACGGGCGGAGGCCGAGCGTTACGAAACGCGGGAACACTAAAATCCGTTGCCCACCGTACCGAACTTGCAACTAGAAATCCGCGGGTAATAGGTCCCAGATACTACGAACATCTACCCACAGACCTGAAAAGTGTTAGAAACGATGCAACGTTTTGTACCCGACTAAAAAACCTTTTATTGGATATTGAATTGTACAGTGTCGATGAGTTTCTTTTGAAACAATTTTAATTTTATTTTATTCGACAAGCAGTAGTTATACTACTTTATTTTATATTCATTATTATTATTATAATTTTATTACTGACGATCATAGTTATCCCTTGACATTGTATTTCCAATTGTAATATTGTGACAATGATAACATGAAATAAACGATTCTATTCTATTCTATTCTATTCTATTCTATTCATCTTTGATGCTTGGGAAAGGTCCCAGAACGCTATTGGTATTTTCTGTGACCTCTCAAAGGCATTTGATTGCGTTGATCATATTACTCTTATTAGGAAGCTGGAACATTACGGTGTAAATGGCAAGGCGTCGAAACTTATCTCGTAAGACATAAATGGAGTGACTTCTTTGGGTTCTCCAGTAAAAATGGGTGTTCCGCAGGGCTCAATACTTGGACCTTTCTTATTTCTGATTTATATTAATGATCTGCCATTCGTTGTTAAGGATCATTGCGAAATAGTGTTGTTTGCTGATGACACATCCTTGATTTTTAAAACAGACAGACATGACATTAACTATGACCATATTAATGATACCCTCTCTAAGGCAGTTTATTAGTTTAATGCTAACAATTTATTGCTTAATGCCAAGAAGACAAAATGTGTTAAATTTGAATTACCTAACGTAAAATCGACTAGTCCAAGCATAGAAATTAACGGAGAAAAGTTAGACCTTGTTAATAAAGCAGTCTTCTTGGGAGTGACCTTAGATAGTAAACTTCAATGGTTGCCACATGTATCGTCCCTAGCCAGCAGATTAAGCTCCGCTGCATACGCAGTCCGCAGAATACGTGAGCTTACCGATGTTAGTACTGCTAGACTAGTTTACTTTAGTTACTTCCATAGTATAATGTCCTACGGGATTCTCATGTGGGGTAAAGCGGCAGATATTCAAACCATATTTGTATTACAAAACCGAGCAATTCGTTCTGTGTACCGTCTAGGCTCTCGGGTTTCTCTCAGAGAAAAGTTTAAGGAGACTGGTATCATGACTGTGGCATCACAGTACATTTACTCAAATATTTTATATGCCCGTAAAAATATACATAATTTTAATAAGAAAGAAGATATCCATAATATTAACCTTAGAGTTAGTTAGTAGTTAGTTTAGTAGTTAGAGTCCAAACTCATGGTACCACTCGTTTTACCAAGGTAAACAACTCTTTTATGCGGAACTGTATACGTTTTTACAATAAGATTCCGGAGCATATATTAAATTTATCACTTCCTAAGTTTAAAAACTACATTAAAAATATTTTGATAGAAAAATCATATTACAAAATAGTAGACTACGTACGTATGTACGTTAGATAAAGATGTATGGAAAGACGACATGGCTCCAGAATCCACACAAATTTGTTTCAAAGTGTATTCCATAGCATTTAAGTTTATTTGAAAAGAGCAATCCCTAGAGTTTCTTGCTCGTTCTTCTCAGGGAGGTCAGCGTAGTGAACGAGCAGTAGCTTAAATGTGACGTTTTCAAGTGTAAATTTATTTTACCTACGGAATAAATAATCTTTGACTTTGACTTTGACACTGGAGATAATAAAAATAGGTTCTCACTACGACACTACTGAAAGTACATTGAGAGAGAAACACCTTGAATTGGAGAAATAGCAAAATCAACCATTAAAGTAATTGCTCCTAAATTAAAGTTAGGCGCTATTTATAAAAATGAATCTTCATGCGTGAACAGTCACCTTTCGAGGTGAATGATTTTCTTCAAAATGAAATGGAACCACTATGGAAGTACCCCCTTTCTAACAAAAAAAAATCATGCAAATCGGTTCACAAATACCGGAGTTATCGCGTAACATACATACAAAAAAAGAACACAGTCGAATTGAGAACCTCCTCCTTTTTTGAAGTAGGTTAAAATTTTAAATAATAGAAATTGCCAGCGAAATTAGGTAGTGAACACAAATCCGACAATGACCGGACTACATTTATTTCTCTCGTGAGTTTGGGTTTGGGTCTAATTTGTGATTGCCTGTGTGTGTCCATGACACCCGCGATACAGGGATTCCCTAGTGCGGGGCTATAAGTGTGTGCAAGCGTTATTATTTTTTTCATATAGTTCGTAACATTTTTATGACTTTCATGTGATAAAACTACATATGACGCATGATCACATTGGACTTTATTAAACCAAGGGTATGAATACAGGATTTGAACGATATTCTTATGGTGAATGTATTAAAATTATGTACTTACTAGCTGGTGCCCGCGACTTGACCTGCGTAGAAGTACATCGAATAGCCCATTGAACTACTTACTTGAGAAATTATTGGTTCACCGTACAAACTTTCATCTCCTATTTCACCCGCGTTAAAACTTATTTTTGTGACAAAAAGTAGCCTTTCGATGCTTTACTTTCTCAAACTCGTAAGTTAAAAAGAGCGATTATTCAGGCGATGGCAAGACTTTCCATTTATTTTAAATTTCTTATCAAGGGTGTTAATTTGGATGCATTACTCTAAGAATAGGTAAAGGCCAGTGTGTAAATAGGAAGGAAATGTGATGTGAAATCAGCCAGTATTTGTATACACAATTCATTTTTTGCATTTCAGTAACTTTGTGCTTTAAGATACGAGTTTGAGAAAGTAAGGCGACGCTATGTCCTTCTCCTCGGTCTCATCTATCTTTATACCAAAGTTCATCAAAATTGGTTCAGCGGTTTAGACGTGAAAACGTAACAGACAGAGTTTCTTTCGTATTTGTAATATTCGTTTGGATTTTTATTGAAAAAGCAAGATATTGTCCAAATAAATGCCTAAAATACATTTTAAGTTCTGGTGCATCATAAAGCCTTATACAGCGTGCGGATGCGTTCTATGTAGTGCTGATAGCTGGTATGATCGTAGTGTTGCCAACTCAGATTTTATCGGCAAATATGGGGAAAAAACTATTTTGCAAATTTAGTACTTTTATCGATAAGTGTGGGGGAATAACTATTTGTACAATTTTTCGTATATATATTCATACAACGCGCCATAGAGCACGGTATATCGTTGTGTAGCACTTATGCGGCCTTAGATTTACTTAGTGCTATAATAGCACTTAGCGTTACGTCAACATTGCTATAGCATCACAATACAATAGTATTGTAATTTATTTTTAAATACACGGAAACTATCACAAAATTCTTATCAACTCTTTTGTTTCTGAACGGTATCAACTTTATCACTTATGACTAAATCTTCGATATGAAGAGATACCTATATATATGCAGTACTTTCGAAATATGTCGAAATTGTTAATCAATTTTGCATAGGTAAATCCATTGTATTTGTATGAATACAAAGGACTGTTCATTGTTTTGTATTACCTCTCCTTAGATTTGGACTCAGTGCTCTTTAGTCGTACTATAAGGTAATTATTACCTGAAAAGCGAGTATTGGAAGATCATTTGTAGTGTCTACTCGCTCAAAATGTCGATTCGTTTGCGATTGGATAAATGTTGCCTCTGTTTTCCTTTGCGAACCGGTGTTTTGATCATTGGATATGTCTCTATGGTAAGTAAAATATTATATTTTTTTAAAGGCTAACCTTTAACCTAAAAAAAAAACTAACCTAGTTACCTAACTTACATATTAAGTATAGAGTAAGTAGGTAAATATATAATCTACCTAATACATTTACTATTACAGTGTTAAAGTTGCTACCTAGATACCGAACGCTTTTTTTATATGCTAAATTGTAAGTTTTGTGACTGTGAAAGGTACTACATTTACCGTATAAAATATATTTGTGTGTTATTCGTTCAGAAGTTATTTTCCATAAGTAATTAATTAGCTTTGATAGTAATCCTGTTTACAAAGGAACAAATTTGTTACCAATTAATTAATTATGAACTAGACATTATATTACCTTTAGGCAATTTTATATCATTTCATGCCAATGAAATTATTGATTTAACATCAATTGACTTCTCGTGCTCTGTTTTTGCACCGCGCCCACACACACAAAAAGTAAGCTGCCTCCCGAAACCTCTCGACGCCTTGCTCCCAGGTGTAAGGATTTTAATTATTTTGTATTGTATATTTACACGATACAAAGTTATTTAGCTTCAAAATAATGTTACACTGTTTTATTACACTTTGTTATTCGTAAAAAATCCAAGTAGTTTGGTGTATTTATACTATACTATGCAAGAATCCATAATTTTGCTGCATCAGAAACAAATCAGTTTCGTATTCAAGAATTGAGAAAGGAAGTCCTTCTAGGGTTATTTAATGCGACCTTTCTTTTTTTTATGATAACACGCGATGGCATATGTGCCATATGCTAGGCTATGGCCTAGCCGCATGCTCCTTTTGTAGTAAGCGACACGCCTATCACAAAGATCTGAGAGGCACTGCCACTCTAAGACATAAGTTGACAAGTCTGTAATTTTTTTCCATCATCTAAGGTAATTTCACCAGCACCCTTCAAAACTGGAACGCCGATATTCTCACATTAGGTAATGCTTGACGGAAGAAATAAGTAAGGTGACAGTACTTTTCTGGACGATCTCTTTAACAAAGAGCACTACTGATATATTATATCTCGTATCGCTAGGAAATTCAACACTGTAAAAGCATGACAGATACAGTATCTTACTTAGATGTCTTCGAACCATTAAGTATTACGTGAGCGTACAGAGTTAAGTGCAAGTCAAATTTAATATTTAAGATTTAAATTGAACTCTATGACATTGAGGATTTCAACGGTCCAAAGAGTTAATTTCAAAGTAATATTAGAATACACACACAGTTGTACCTTTATCACTGCAAACTGGTGTTCGAAAATGTTTAGGAAAGTTTGCAACCACCCTAGATTGGGAATACTAAGTATATTTCGAGTGATTTCAATTGATATTAAATCGACTATCCAACAAAAAATCAAATTCACCGCACTAGCTCGGAAAGGCTTTCTTTCTCATTAGAAATCTGCGCGCAAAAGCGTTTTTGAAATTCGAACTTGACGATGGACTATGGTGCACCCTTAGAGGATGGAATAAGGGTGCACCTAACATTTTCCTTCGATGAAAAAAATTCAATGAAACGTTCAACTACGCAATTTGTCGTATATTCCTTATTTATGTGATATAAATCTGTTGGTATATTTTATTCTTATTATTGTTGACATTAAATTGACAACTTAACTAATTTTGTTTATTAAATTATTTTGCTTCGTCGAAGAACTAAAATAATTTCAATATCACACAAAATTATAAGTGCAAATTCAGAACGTATCCTAAGATAAACCTTTTCTTTTGATGAAAAAAACAGATGTTTTATAGTTCATTTGTTTTTCTTTCATCTAGCATTTTCCGCGCTAGAGTGAGGTGAAAAGTTGTGTTTTGCTCGGCAACAAAGTTGTTTTGCGCCTTGTTACCCTCGCTACGCTCAGGATTCAATCTTAGCATCCTTCGCTTGCTCCGGTTTCAATACAAGGACTCGCGTCAAACAGTAACTTTGCAGCCTTTTATAACAAATAACTATTATATGATAAAGTTTAGTATACTACCTTAATATATACCTATTATTATGAGCATACCGCTAATAAACATGGATAAAAAAATCTGCTGTATCCATTGACCTACCAAGCTGTATCATGCAATATTTTCATAATTGGTTACTGAGCTGACTAGAATGTATAAACTCTTCTCTCTCATAAAGTATTCCATATTCTGAGTTCCCCTAACGAACGATAAAACGGCCTAGTGAACTTCATGAATTGTAATATTTCATAATTTTACAAAACAACTCATACCATTTGAAATCGCTGACATAAGTGACAATCTACGTAACTAACACACTTACGACTAAGGAAACTTTTTTTTTCCATCCTCTAAGCTAAAAGACTATCGAAAATATTGGCAAGTGTGACACTCTCTTTGGCGACTCTCGTCCAAAGAGACTGCCACAGCGAGCCGGTGATAATAGGCGGCGTCTAAAGCCACATGAGTATAAATATACTCACGCCAGTGCAGGTATTTGTCTTCTGTCCGTTTTATTGAATTATTCTTTTTCCAGCTAATAGCTTTATCTCTCTTCACGTTTTGCTGCGTCTCCTTTTACAAATTAAAACAATATGTCAAGGACCACGAAAATAACCCGGAACCAGACTTCGCAACGGTGGATGACTTGCACTCCACTGCCAATGGTTATTACATTTTATTTTCATTCGGCATACTGGTTTCCCAGTTCTGTTTTGCTATCAATGTAATGCTCGTCGTTGGAATTCATAGGGTAAGTTAAAAGTTGTAGTTAACTATTCATCATCATCATTCCATTTATACGTCTTTCTGCTGGGCACGGGTCACATCTCAGGGGAGCATTTAGGCTATAGTCCAATGCAGGGTTGGAATCTTCACTCGTTTTCCGAGGGTTGTGAGCCTTTTTCGACGTGCAGGTTTCATCACGATGTTTTCCTTCATCGAAAAGTTCATGGTAATTTCAAATTAAGTTAGCAATTACTTAGATTAAAGTAAACTAATAAGGAAGTTCTATTAAGATACTGAAATATCTGGTAGTTACCTACGTAGTTACTGCGACTTATACTGAGGATTGTGACGCCTCTCTATGAACAGACCCATATCCAACAGCACCACTTTAACTGCCTCTGTGGCCAAACGGTTACCATGTCGGACTGCCACGCAGAGGTCCCAGGTTCGATCCGGGCCGGGAGAAATGTTTGTATGCCCTACATTTCATTTCTCTCGCGAGTTTGGGTGTAATTAGTGGTTGTCTATGTGTGTGTCCATGGCACCCGCGACACAGGTATTCCCTAGTGCGGGGCTATGTTGAGTGTGTGCGTTATTATTATTATTGTATTTATTTTAAACTATTATTATTATTATTATTATTATTACCACAAGTTGTTGCAGTGCAGATGATTTTTAGACGTGTAGTATATGTATGTGAGGATGTATCAAAATAATAAAATTTTAGCCTAATGCCGAACATTAGTAAACTGTGAATGTTACTTAACATGTTTAATCTCTTTACCTCTGATCAATTTACCGAAATCATATAGTACTCCCCATCATTCAAAAGACATTTTTAGTGAAACCGAATTTGTGTGCTTCTCTCTTTGCGGAGAAGTCAGGTCTGGGCGACCTAGGCACATTTCCACTAAACGTACCTACTTCATTTTTACTGATACTCTGTGGCATACTTAATAAATACACATAAAAGTAATAATATTATATGTAGTAATAATTATAAAAGTGAGAAGGTTATTCAAAATCTCTCACTAGATGTCACTAGCGGCGACGAATGCCGAAAAATCAGTTCAAGGATCTATAATAAAAACACATAAGCGAATTTCGACGACTCGGTAACTGGACCCGTGGCTCAGATGGTTAGAGCAAAGCTACGGTGCAGCATGGACGTGGGTTCAAGTCCCACTGGATCGACGAAATTTTTTCTCTGTGTTCGATCTTTGTATCCATAACAATACTAATGGAGTTATTTCACAAAAAACCTCAATAAATATACATAAAAGTGATAATAATTTTGCGAACTCTGGACGTAATTTTATGGACTTGATGAGATTCCGCTTCCAAAACGCTTGTATCAAGGGCCTTACCACGAACTCTTGTTACAATTCAGTTTAGGACCTAAAATTAATCGTTGTGAGACAGCGCTACATGAAGTGTATGTCACCATCCCGCTTTTTTGTCGTTACGAACCTATACTGAACTGTAATAAGAGTTCATGGTAGACCCCAGGTCTCGCTTTCAATCATGGAGGCGTGCTAATGTCTATCCCGTGTTCGTGAAAGACAGCTGATCCAAATCTGCCAATTACAAGCCAATCGCAGCCACCTCCATAGCAATCCAGTAGTTGATTTGTCCATGAGCCAATTCGTAATATGTACCTCAAAAATATTATTTCAGTTCAACGTTCGCCTCGTTAGGTACTACACGCCCACATCAAGTATTCTGGTGATATTGACGTTGGCTCTCATGGTGCACAGTTACTTCTTCTTGACATTTAGCCGTATCTGGCCATTACTCTTGTGGAGTGGTAAGTTACACTTTCTTAGCTAAGTTTAAATCTACACTTACGAGTCGATACTACCGAAGCTCGAATTCACATTTTTCCCGTACTAATATGGTTAATTTAGCTTTATTTGAAAAATGTATATCGTATACTATACGCATTGACTTACAATTATATGGACGTCGGGTCCGCGCGAAAAAGTGTCCGAACTTATAGGGCGTTAAAATCGTATATAGAGCGTCATTTACGCTTTAGTCTTCGTTTGTTCGACTGACAGCGAAGCAAGCAAAATTAGACAGTACTGCGATGACATTACAATTTCAATTCAACGTTTTAGCTTTTTTATATTCATTTACATGTCACTACGTTTAAATAGGTTGACTTGGGACATTTTTTTCGTGGTTTTTGTATTAGACCCGTCGTCCATTTATTTGTAAGTCAATGACTATACGTGTTCTATTTAGTTCAGTTAATATTAAAAAAAAATCATTGATATATGCAAGGTACCTATTGAATACAGCGCTTTTCTTGTAAAATTTCGTGGTAAGTTAGTGTTTTTTTTTCTATCGTGACAATTTTTAGGAGTCGTGTTTTCACAGCGTATAGCAATCAGTGTACACCCTCAATTTTACTATATATTTTTTCCAAAGCGATTGATTCAACACTTTCGCTGTTATGCGGATTCAACCAAAGCCATTTTGAGGAAGCCAAAATTACATTATTCAAGGCTTACTGTCAATCCTTCTACACGGGTGGTCTGTGGGTGAACTATACGCAGAAGGCACTCAGCGCCCTGCGTGTTCAATATAATAACGGTTTCAGAATGCTGATGGGCCTACCACGGCATTGTAGCGCATCCTCGATGTTTGCTCTAGCGGGAGTAGATGACTTTTTTGCTGTGATGCGAAACAAAAAGGCGTCACTACTCTCGAGGCTGCGTTCTAGTCCTAACAGCATTCTGAAAATGTTTGCGGCTAAGCTTGATGCGCCGATGCTTCAACATTTTATCCAGGTTCTGGTGAGATCATGAGGTTATCGGCGCCTCGAGCAGTAAGTTGCATATACGTGTTCTTGTGTTTGCCAATGTATTGTCCCGTAATTTGTACCTACTAACAATAGCTTTAAGTTTAAATGTTCTGTATCTTTTTGTATTACTAACAAGTGGGCCATAGATGTCCAAATAAATGATTTATTATTATTATTATTTGAGGTTGTATCTACTTTTAAACAGATATATTTTAAGCTACTCTGCCCTCCTTATAATAACTGACGTAACCGACACTTTTAGCGAGATTGAGTTATTAACATATCGTCGCCTTACTTTCTCAAACTCGTATCTTAAAGCACGAAGTTACTGAAATGCAATAAATGGATTGTATATACAAATTTTGCAGGCTGATTTCACATCATATTTCCTTCATATTCACACATTTTTACTTATTCTTAAAGTAATGCATCCAACTTAACAACCTTGACAAGAAATTTAAAAAACAAATAGGTTTTGGCATCTCCTGAATAATCATCTTTATAAAACACGAGTTTGACAAAGTAAGGCGTCGATATTTGAAATCAGCAAAACCATATCTACAACACCATGTAAGCGGTTTTTTAATATCTTATTTACTTTCGATTTTATAGTTAAGCAAAATCAGCGTAATTGACGTTTTTATAGACAAAAAAAACTAGGTGCCAAAATCTCGAAAATTACCAAAATGCAAATACGTTAGTGTGACAAGGAGGGTAGCACTTTATAGCTTCTCTTCGATGTGATAATATTTCTGCGACGGTAGCTAAACTGCACAAAACTTTGTGAAAAGAAAATACACTAATTGGTTGACGTAACTATATTTTAACATTATAGGATGACACCCTACACGTTATCGACATCCCACTGCATAGCATTGGTCTCCCCCTAAAAAAGGTTAACTCCATATTTCACCACTCTGGTTCAGTGCGGCTTGAAGACTTTTTTTCTAATGTCAAAAAATGGGACCAACAAGTCGTGCGCCTGATGGAAAGCGACACGCCTGTCCATTACAGTTGCATTACCACTCAGAGCTTTAAAAAACAAAGATCTGAGGGGCACTGCTACTGCACCCGTCACACTGAAATAAGTTACCAAGTTCCATGTGCCTGTAATTTCACCAGCACCTTTACCCTTTAAAACCGGAACACAATAATGCTGACATTACTACTTGGTGGTAGAAATAGGTAAGGTGGCAGTACTTCCCTGGACGAACTCTTTCACAAGAGCTTTACTGCGACCGAATTCTTCATAGACATTTCATCCCATGGTAGTTCCTTATTAATTAAACTCAAATGTGTTATTCAAGTGATAGTAAACTGAACACGTTATAGACTAGACTAATAATACCTAACGATTCAAGAAATTATTGAAAATTCTATATCAAGTTAAGGTTAAATCGGTAGTACTAACAGAGCGTGTACTGCCACGCTTACGTGGCAAACGCTGGTTCGACTCCAGTACAGCCAGTTTTTCTTTGTGTTTGTTCGATTTTTGTATCTGGTGTAGTATTTTCACAAAAAATTGATATCATGATAGTAAAAACATTGTGATATTCAATTCGGTTTAGAGACAAGTATGAGAACCAATATATTAAGACTAATATTCTGAATATTTTCAGGGATCGTGGGCTACTTCATAATCGTGGTGCGCCGCTTGTATCTGAATATGAGGAATGAAGAGATAGGATTGAATAACCAAAGGAACACTACAGATATAGAACTTGAGACACTTAGGCAATAACCAGCGTGGAAGACACTTTTGTTTTAGAAATTCACAATTTTATGGGCTTCTTACACACAATGTCTTACAACTCTTTATAAATAATATGCACAAAATAAAGATATACAGGATTAAATCGTTAAATGTGTCAAGGCGATTATTCTGTAAATATAAGAGCCATCAAAAACCCTTAATCTGATATCAAAAGTACTTTACCTAATTAGTAAAACGACATCAATAACTTTTTTAAATAATTTAATTATATATACATGAAATAATTTACAAATAAAAAATATGGGTATGTTAGTTGACCTACTTTAAGAAAGTGAAATTTATTTATAAGTAAGCACAAAATTTTGTATTCAAATTAGTTCTTCGAAACTAAAGTCTCTCTAGGAATGTCTATTAAGTGTATGTGAGCTTGAACGTTAAAATGTTCAATATTTCTAGTTTTATTTTTTTTACAGTTATTGATGCCGTTTTACTCATTAGGTCACGCACTTACGATATCAGTTTAAAAATTTTTTATATAATTATACATTTACGGAATAATCGCCAGGGGCAAATGTATAGTTGTGTATTATATATGTAAAATTACTAATTATTTATAAAAACTTAAAATGTAATTGTGTAATACCTTCCGAAATGACAATAAATATTTTTGTTGGATATTATGATGATTGAGTATGATATGACAGGATATAATTGCACCTTCTAGTGTTTCGTGAATAAATATTTTTCCGTATAACCTAGTGGTAGATAAAATTTAATAAAAGTTAGAAATACTGATAACTGCTCAATATTTATATATATTTTCAGGTACTATACAGGTATTTATAATTAATATTATTTCTTCTTCGTCAAGGTCCAATCTTTCGATGTATATATACTGTAGTTACAGTTGGTATAGATATATGAACATGAAGCAGTCTTAATAGAGGTTGTCTGCGTTCTAAACACGAGTTCTTCGCAAAGAGAGAAGCAAAGAAATTCGGTTTCTCCAAGTCGCAGTGCGGGCGTTTTATATGATTTCACTGTGTAAAATGATTATTGTTTAATTTTTTATTAAAGATTTTTTGCAGTCAAATTTTGTTCCCGAATCTTAACCCTTACCACAACAGTATTTTTTATGAGTGATTTGAGAATATTAAAATAAATTTCTGTGAACTAATGTTTTATTCATCTGGGCAATGTATACGATACGACTATAATAAGATTCAGGTTGATATTCAAAACTTGTTTACAGCTTTATTATTGTACAAATTATATAGGGTGGCCGCAGTGGAGATGAAGTAAAGACGAGAAAATATGATGTATAACTATATTAAATTTCCACAAAAGTATTTCTTAAACTAAATAATTTTAAGAACGTCCGAAGTTAGGTACGTTAGGTCTAAAAGTGTCTTATAATTATAATTAAAATGATGCGCTTTGCATCGGTCACGTTGCAGTGCACGGGGCGCGCGTTCCGGGGTGCGCGAATGCCAGTGCGTTGACCTGACGTTTTAGGTATGTGTGTTATGTGCAAAACTGGATACATAACATACAGCTTCTGCGTACTTGGATGACAAAAATACATACTCGTAGTAGTGATTCGTTTTGCTCTTACAGGTTGTCTTGATCTATCATATTTGAAATAAATATTGTAAATGATAAATAATAGTTATTGTGAAAAATAAAATAAAATGTGTAGAACGCACCCCTATATATTTTTTTTGGTTATATTTTTCTGTATCTAATGGAGCAATAAACATGTTTGACGTAACTCCACTTATGCCATTCTTCCATGAGGGGTGCAAAATGCTTCTTTATAAAGAGCAACCCCTAAAAAAATGTTCGACCACCGTGAATGGGACACCCCGTTGGTAGTTGCAATTAATACCTGCAGTTTAAGACTGTGCAGCAAAGAGAGTATCATTAAGAGTCAGTGTTGAAGAAGGTGTACTTTTAAATACCTACGTATAAAAAATTGCCCAAATAATTATTTCTTCAAATTTTAAAATTGGCAACATCACATTGATATATTGAGCTAATAGCGTTCTGCACAAGGCCTAGGCTTATCTGTATACTGAATTAATTTGTCATCAGAGCCATAATCTGATATCTTCGACCTCACTGCGATAACACAAGGATAGTACCAGTATTGTACATATCCTTTTATTTTGTTAGACATTTGGACTGTTTATTTACTTAAAACGCCAATATTATACATTTAGTTTCCACATATTGATAGTGTTTTAGTAGTATATTAAAGGTAGTTGTTATCGACTAAAAAGTGTTAGGAGAAGATTTGTAAGTGTTTTCCTTACTCGCCCAAAATGGTGTTACTAATGCCAAGACTGAGTAAATGTTGTTGTTGTATTCCTTTGAGAATTGCTTCTTTGATCATCGGATATTTCTCTTTAGTAAGTAATATGTTATCTTTGTTAAAAGTTAGGCAATTAAGTAAGAAAATGTACTACTAATACCACTATCATGAGTTCGTATCCTTGGTATAATAAAGCCACAAGTGATCATATTATGCCAAAATGTCAACAAAAACAAAACGAACAAAAATAATATTGGTAACTTAGTGACAACGCCATCTTGTATAGAAGTGTGGTATAAGTCGGTTATGAAAACGGGTATGTGGCGGTATCTAGGATGATTGATAGTAATTTGTGATCAACATTAGTTTATCGTCATTTTACAATACGGCCGCCATACAAGCGTCTTTTTGGCGACAGATAAAAATTTGCTCTAATTTGACTGAAAATCCATCCATGTGATGTCTGGGGTCTCCGCCGCCATATAAGCGTACTGTTTGCAATATAATTGACTGTTGAAAAAACTTGCTTTGCTCTAGATGAAAATCGGCACGAAAAGATTTATAGGATTGTCTGATAATAATTTGCGGTCAAAATATATATTTCCAATTTTTAAATATGGCCACCATTAAAGAACTATTTTAATTTTTAAAGCAAAGCCAAAAGTAGCAAGGCCATAGGCCGACGTCTAGCTGAAGGCGAAGGACGAAGCATTCGCCCGCCTCCATACGTAGGTAGTATATGGAGGCTCTATTATTACGAGTACAAGATCTCACAATTGTTAAAAATGCAAACATACTTCTCAATGTAATGGAAATAAGATACTTATAGCGTTGTTACATCTTGACCGTCCCTCTCTTAGATTCCTTTTTCTTGGAAGCTATGTCAAACAGGTTAGAAGTATTTTAGAGGAAAATATACATATTAATAATGTCAGACAATCCCACGGATTTTCTGGTCTCAAACTATGGAATTTCCTGTACTATGAGTATCAGAATAACGATAACTCTGAGGGCAATATCTAGAACACCAGAACCAACTCAAAAATGTTTCTTTCATAAATTGGCCGAAATAGGGAATCAAACCTAGTACCTCCCCATCAAACGCCCATAGTACTAACCGCTGTGCCACCGAAGAGCATAAGGACACTCCGTAATCTGAACCCGACCAGGCGCCGCAGGCGGAGCCTGACTCCACCGTAGGTGGGGTATAGTGTATGTAGGGTATAGGCCGTGTAAATAAATTTTACACGGCCGCTTGCGACTTAACGCTGTTTAAACATGTACTTAAAGGTGTCATAGTTAACACATTCGCGCGAGTTATGCACTATACCTTACTAAACATTTGCAAGTGATATGGAAAAACGTGCTATTATGTTGTTTAATTTCTTTTATATCATCGAAGAACGTCCGAGAACACAGTTTGAATATTCACAATCTTAATGTGACGTCTTTGCTAACATAATCAAAATATAACTGCCTCACCTGCCTAAGTTTGGGTGTAATTTGTGGTTGTCTGTGTGTGTGTGTGTGTGAGAGAGTCCATGGCACCCGCGATACGTATTTTCCACGGGGCTATAAGTGTCTACGTATAACAGTAATAATTTATTAATACCTTGTTTTAACAACGTTTACCACAGGAACATTCAGGGGGGAGTTGGTATCTTAATAACCATATCTTCAAAATTACTTTATTAGTATAAAGACTAGATGACAAAACGACCACCTGTACAGAAAGATTATAACTTTTTTTTATAACATCAAGTGACGGAACGAACAAGTCGTGCGCCTGATGGTAAGATACACGCCTGTACATAACAGTGGCAGTGTCATACAGAGCTTTAAATCGCAAAGATCTGAGGGGCACTGCCACTGCGCCGGTCACCCTGAGACATAAGCTGTCAAGTCCCATGTGCCTGTAATTTCACCAGCACCCTTACCCTTCAAAAACGGAATACAGTAATGCTGACGTTACTGCTTGGCGGCAGAAATAGGTAAGGTGGCAGTACTTCCCTGGACAAACTCTTTCAGAAGTATATGTACACTAAAATGTAGTAAATATAATTACATATGCTGGCCCAAATAAGTAGCCTTCATTTTTTGTATGAAAAACGTTTTTTTCGAGATACTTAATGGTTGTGTAGAATACATTGAGCTATTTTGCAAAGCATTGAGCAAATCTGAATACGATATTTTTATTATAATGTTCCAATAAGCGTCTAGATTTGAATCCCTTCACATATTATGCACATTTTAATGTACACGTCCTTAAAAGGATATAGGTAGTTACCTACTTCACCAGCATGTGTAGAAATTCAACTTTTAACTAAAGAGTACGCCCTAAAACAAACGTATGCTAGTGTATCAGGTTTACAGCGATCCATCTTTATTATTCAGGTATTCTTTCCAGATTATATCAATATCCTTAATCAGCCTAGTGTGCGGGTCTCTTTATAAATTGGTGAAGTACGTAGGGGAACACAAAAACGACCCAGATTCAGGCTTCACGACCGAAGAAATCCAGTTTGCTGCCATTCGTCTTTACATTGCACATATATTGTTCATCCTTGTTTTCGTCTTCTCCTGTATTATTAATATGATGCTCATCTTTGGAGTTCATTGGGTATGTAATAATATCTTAGTACAGAGTACTAAAAAAACCGACCTCAAAAGTACGTGGAATTACATATAATTACCAAGTTTTATTGAAATCGGTTAGCGGAAAGTGTGCAAAAAATAATAAATTGGTTCACAAATACCGGAGTTATCGCGTAACACACATAAAAAAAACGTACAGTCGATTTGAGAACCTCCTCCTTTTTTGAAGTCGGTTAATAAGAGTTATTTACTGCTACGTAGATTTAAAACAAACTCTTCAAGAAGTAAACAGATAAGTAGTTAAGGAAAGTACTTCTTTACCACTGTTGTGCACACACATACATACATGTATATACGCACATGTTATGCTACGCTTTATTTTTGCATGTATTTTATGTGATATTACGTTCTCTGATATGTTAAGAGGGGGTGAGCCGAGTGATCTATAACATAGGTTTCCAATCTAGTACAGGCTCCAGCTTGCACTGAAGAACTTATTATTGTACGTAAAATTGTAACGACTCATAGACCTTTTTGGAGAAAATAAAGCATTTGTATTATTGTATTTTATGTAAGTACTAAAATAAGATATTACACCAACCCATTCTGCACTGCGCAGAGCAGCTGCTCTATGGCCACCGTCTATACATCAAAAAGAGGTACCAAACGTTTTTCAAACCGTAACGAGAATAAAGTTTGTGGCAGGGTTGTTGCGAATATCAGCATCTGCATCCGTGGATAACAGTATAAATTAAAATATCCGCATCCGCATTCATCGATGCTGATATTAATTGCGGATGCTCAAATAGTGACATGACCTAAAAGGCAAACTGGAATAATTTACAAACCTTTCAGAATCAGACTATACCTACGCTGAAAATGCAGCTTTTAAGATATAACTTTTATAAAATTCCAGAACGATTAAGCTAGGCAGATTGAATGTTTTTATGCAGATTGATTCTTTGAATGTCACAAAATCATTGAAATAATATTTTATTACAATACCAAAGAGAATAGAAAGCTTTTCCATGTAGATAGATTCAGTAAGAATGTACATTTCACGCGTTTTTTAGATATATAAAATCATCATCCGCTGATGTTAATATCAAAAAATCAGCTTCCGCATCTGCATCCGCTGATGTGTAAAAAGCCTGTATCAGCAACAACCCTGATTTGTGGCCTAATTAGATTGCGGTCTTAACAAGCCTGTACTGGGGCTCACTTTCAACTTCTAATAAATAAATTGTGAGGGATTAGCAGGTTCGACTCGACTGCTTATGTTTATAGGCAACAGGCCAAACATGCTAATTACAGTCTAATCTGAACCAACTGCTACTCTATAATCAATTTCTATGCAAGCTTGCTTCATCCTAGACCACATTGTCATTTACCATGAAGTAAGACTATGGTTATCTAATTGAAAAAAAGTCTTAGATTTCAGTAGGTGTGTCATTTAAAAAAATCCAAATTAAGTGTCGTGAAGCAGTTTGACATGTATCGTTAAGGATTCATCCGCATTACCAAGATATGGTTGACAGGGTCATGAGCGGGTAGAGGGTTGGTCACAAAAAAATGTAAGTAATTATGGGAAAACAGCTTTAGATTCTCAGATCACATAAGTACCAGCGTTTAAGATTGTATGCCTGAATAACAACATTAAGAAGATAGTACAAGTTTAAAAAAACGCTTGAAGAGTTTAGCATATGGAAAGCCAATTCGTGTATATTTCTAGCACTTTGGCTTCGTACAGCAACCGGTTCATATTTCAGGAAATACGTCGCCTGGTCGGGTATTACGTGACCACATCAATGGTTCTATTGGTATTGCAATTCATACTCATGGTGCTCATCTTCGTCTTCATGGGCCTGATTGCCGCCTTGCCGTTGCTTACCTGGGGCAGTAAGTTAAATTTTTATTTTTGCTTAATGTATAGTTATTCAATGTAACATGATGCATTTAAAATTCTTGGATCGATAGTGTTAGTAAAGGTGCCTATAGATTTGATCGATTTTTGACGAACGTTAGTGTCGCTCGATATGGTGTGTTTTGACGAACAGTAGTTGTCGTAACTTACATATTTCGATAATTTTCGAGATACTGGCACCTAAGTTTTATTCATGTTTTATTGTCACTTAAAAAATGTCAATTATGCTAACTTTGCTTAACAATAACTGAAACTAAAACGAACATTAATAACCGACTCAACAGTTACTAAGTAACTTAATTTCGCTAAAAATGTCGATTATGTTAGTTACGATAAGGAGGGTAGAATAGATGTTTTTATAACATCAAGTGACGGGACGAACAAGTCGTGCGCGTGATGGTAAGCTAAAGCTACACGCCTGTCCATAACAGTTACAGTGCTACTCAGAGCTTTAAATTGCAAAGATCTGAGGGGCACTACAACTGCGCCCGTCGCCCTGAGACATAAATTGACAAGTACCATGTGCCTGTAATTTCACCAGCACCCTTACCCTTCAAAACCGGAACACAGTAATGCTGATATTGCTGCTTGATGGCAGGAATAGGTAAGGTACTACCCTGGGCGAACTCTTTCACAAGGAGCTCTACTGCTACTAAACATGCTATACTACATACTACAACAAGTTTTCGTTAAATCAGCATAATGACTACTACGACAAAACTGTAGCATAGCAAGGACTCTATTCTCATAGATGTAATAAAACGAATAATAAACTTCTATTCTGAATGTTTCCAGTCATCCTGTTCTTCTTCATAATCGTGGTGCGCAGCGTGTACCTAGACATGGAGGACCGAGAGAAACCATTGGTCTGCATGATATATGATACGTCAACTCTTCGCTGTGGGCAGATGCAGCAACCCCTAATGTCATCATCATCGTCATCCCGTCCATACCCCTCATATATGAAATTTGATTATCACAGCGTCCAGTGACGCTAAGAAAAATAAACTTTTGTTTTATAAATTAGCATTTTTGATGATGTCACAAAACGTCTGACTACTCTACATATATCAACTTACAAATGTCTTAGATGATGGAAAAATATAAAACGTACATCCTATGAATATAGTCAATAAGCGTATATCGCGTATTATGAGTGAAAGTAAAAATTTATAATAATAACGCACATACTCAACATAGCCCCTCACTAGGAACACCCTGTGTCGCGGCTGCCATGTACACATAGACAACCACAAATTACACCCTGACTCACGAGAGAAATAAATGTAGGCCATACATATATTTCTCCCGGCACGGTAATCGAACCTGGGACCTCTGCGTGGCAGTCCGGCATGGCAACCGTTCGGCCACAGAGGCAGTTCAAAACTACCTATATTTCGGTGTCTTATCATGTCGATGGCATACACTATAACGGTTGCCATCGTGGTGAAAGGTTTGCCAATCGGCGTAAGGTACTCGCCGATTATTGCCGGAAATTATATACATATATATATATTATTACAGGAAAGGAATGTACTTACAGCCTTACATATACCGTTACCACTTTACAACTACCTTCAGAAGATTAAAAACTAATAATTCACTATAACTAAGCCCTTTGATGGGACGAAGATGTATGAGTCAATTTATCTCTACTTTTCATTGATACAGTTGCTATTTTATTGCCGTTAGTCGCCTATTTTCAAAGTAATTAAAAAAACAGTAATTAGCTATTAGATTTAGATTTATTTATTGTCTTGTAAACTTTACATTATTATACACAATATCTTGTATTACAAGAAACGTTACAAATAGTTAATAAATGTAACATTTCAAAAAAATACAAATATCCAGTACTAGTTTTGTACTATGAAATTTTAACATAGTTAATTTAGTTACGTGAAATAATGTAGGAACAAATTAAATAATATAATAGTAATTAAGTCAAAATAATGATTATATGCATTGACTTACATTATATGCGTTAAGTTTATGTAATTTATCCATATCTGTAAAATAATATTTATACCTAATAAGCTAATATATTATACACCCATATTACACGATCATGTCCCTATATTCTACAGTTTAATAATACGTATTAAGTAACAAAAAGTATTTCTGTCGACGATCAAATGTTTCATCATTAGGCTCGTTTTGTAAGTCGGGCCGATTACGATTATTTTCAGTGCTAACCGTCGCGGTACGACCCTCAGTCATCCTGTGGAGCGAGTATTATAACGGCTTTCATGCCTTTCGAAGCTGTGTAAGTTTTTTCGTACGAATGTGATTATTCCATATAAATACAATGAATACATGGTCATTATCCTGTGTCGCACAAATAAGTCCCTACAAGAAACTCTTCATGTTACACCGGCAAGTATCCGCATTGCTCGTTTTTGAATAATGAATACCCTGAAAATCCCCAGAATCAGTGGAGTCACCCCATAGAATGGTACCATACGACATTATGGAGAGGAAATATGCGAAATATGTTTGTCGTAGTATTGAATCTGTAACGACAGGTTTTAATTTTTTTAGTGCATAAACCGCACTACTTAATCTACTTTACATAGAATTTATATGATGCTTCCACGTTAAATTTTCATCCAGAATGAATACTAAGAACTTACTGTAGGCAGTTATGGGCATTGAACTGTCTAAGCATGTTGGCCTCGGGATTGATCTACCAGACAACAATATTAAACTAGATTTAGCAGCATTTAGTATGAAACCATTGGAAGTGGACCATTTCATCAGACTCGTATAGACAATTCCTATTTTTATATTGAGTTCGTCGTAAGTTCGGGCGCATACAATTACAGTGGTATCGTCAGCGAACAAAACCAACAAGCCATCAGTGATATGGGGCGGTAGGTCATTATTAAATGTTAGGAAAAGGGTATTTCTTAGTGGCAATCCTTGAGGAGGCATTCCTCAACCTCCGTAACCTCCACTACTCCGTAGTTTTTTCCACCTAATGTTACTTCCACTGTCTGAATTCTGCGTGATAACAATTATTTCATGACATCATATGTTTTGCTTCGCATACTATACTTTTCTCCAAGAGTACCTACATCGTAGCTGATTACATCAAACGCTTTTGAGAGGTTACACAGCACACCTTTTTTTTTTAAAAGCACCTACTTTGCTCTTACCATCCAACCCCGTAATTATTAAGTCCACCACTCTCTGTGCAGCTGCTGTGGTGGACCGCTACTTACGATAGGCATATTAGTTGTTTGGCACAAGATCATTGTCTTCTAAATGTGACATTAGGTGAGAGGAAATAATCAACTCAATTATCATATTACTGATATAGAACGCATAAGGCTCAATTTATATTGCGGCGGAATGCAGTGGAAGCGAATTTTTGTAACATAGCGTAATGAACTTTATGATCAATAGTGTAACGTACAAACTAGAAACGAGCCAATATCTTCCGCGGAATGCGCGAGCATGTTCATTATGCTATGCTACAAAAATTTGCTTCCACTCCGTTCTGTCGCAATATAAATTAGCCTAAGAGGCGAATATAATTTTCTTATCAAAGCTAAAACACCGACGATTTCATCGTGAAATTATGCGTTACCTATTAAGTACACGTATTTTCATATACATACCTAGTGTCACGGTGTTAGCGACATAATACCAAGATACTTATTTCTGTCAGAACGTTACTCGTAAATGGGCAATATATAATCTCAATACAAGAAAAAAACCGACCTCAAATAGTCGTGTAGTTACATCTATTTACCAAATTTTATTGAAAACGGTTACCGGATAGTGCGCGAAACCGGATTCATCGCCTAGTTTGCCACCCTTTGAGGTGGAATTTTTGAATTGAAATAGGACCACTACCAAGGTTTCTTTCCAAGAAAAAACAACTATCAAAATGAGTTCACAAATGCCGGGAGTTGTCGCGTAACAAATATGCACACAAAAAGAAACATACAGTCCAATTGAGAACCTCCTCCTTTTTTTAAATCGGCTAAATACTATACAACGTAGTCGCAGGTACTGATTTGAGTACGTTTAGTAACCCATTTGACGGTTATCGTCGGTTCGTCAGGCTGCTATCTGATTATAATTGTTGCACCGGAAGTAATTCACGCGAAAATAGTTAAGCCCCTTCTTGAGAATTCTGCATTTCAAAATGTGTGCCATTTACCTTTTTATCTAACAATTAAGTCGGTTGGCTAAAAAATTTCAACCATTATGAATTATGACTTTTATTATGCTCATTCGGTGGACAATTTTAATTTTTTTTCTCTCTCTGAAACTATACATATCTTGCACACCGGAGTTCCTACTATATACTGCACTTGTATAATTTATGCAAACTATAATAATCTAGAATAAGAAACGAACATCACAAAGTTGGGTTTCATAAAACTACTGTGGCAAGGAAGTGAAATAAATACTAACAAACACGTATTACTGGCGTGGGAATCATTTGTCTTGAATTGAAGTAAATAAGAATTAAAATACGTAATTAAAGTAAATTATTAAATATAAAAAATCAATCATAGTTCGGTCCAAAATTTCTTGCAGAAAATGTACACCAGTTATCCATTTCCGTTACACCCTCTTTTTGAAGGAGTAAAATGACAGTTCATTGCGCGAGTGTTGCCCGTTTGCAATCAGCTATGAGTCGATAAATATAATAATAATAATAATAATAATATATTTATTTGACATCACAAGAACGTGATGGCTAGGAGCACTATGCACGATTGCAGTTGGTCCCACACTAGGCAGAGTCTGTCCTGGGCGAACCTATTTCATTAAATTAAATTAATTTTGACAATGGTATATTGCGTTACACGTTGCATTGTGATTGTTTTAATATTAATAATAATTTAAAAGTGTTACAATGTATTCAATCCAAAATAAACAAGAGGGAAAAATAAACAGAAAAGAATTATAAAATGTTAAGATAAAGTAGGATATTCTATCGACTATCAACTGAATGCTGGTCACTCTTATGCAATATATCACCGAACTTATTTCATTTGAATTTCATCGGCCCATAATTCGTTTCACTGCTGGGTACAGGTTCATTTGAATTGTCAATTTTCGTAAGTTCATACATACATAAACTACCTTAGAAATACGTCTAATAAAATTAGAAAGAAGGGAATTCATATTTAAAGTTTTTCTTTTAATCAATATAGATAATCAAATTCGCCTGTCTTTATTAGAATATATATGAATAAAAATTTATTTCGATACTAGTAGGCCAACTGTCAAAATAAGAATAAAAAAGGCATTAACGCAATTAGTAATCATTTTTGGCAAAAATAGTCTTCCCTCACAATTTATCGATAAAACTGTGGACAATAACTAGGTGACTATTTAAAATTTTATGAAAACTGGCAACCCTTCAAATGCCATTTTACTTAAAAAAATAGACAGATTATAGCAATAGCACTTAGCATAGACTTGCATACACAGTTTGTGCTATATTTAGAATGCCAATAGCGGTCATTGACCCGAGTTTCATCCTGATACCACAATTCGCCAGTGTCCGATAACCGATTCCTATAAATCTGTCGCAATTTTGATATCACTGGAGTAACATAAATTGCCGTCGAATTATGACTACGGGATGAAAGTCGGGTCAATGACCGCTATTGACATGCTTAATGGCACAAACTATAGGAAAGAGTAAATGATCGTTGTTGACTTCGATCATTATGTTAAACAAACACCATGAAATCTTAATAATGATTAGTTGTAGTTTCTAATTTAAAAAGTTGTATCAAATTCTGGATTGTTAATGTAATTTAAACTTTACCCAGTTAGCATATCGTTGAAAGCTCAATACCTATTATTGCAAGTTACGACGTTTTCATTTTATTATTCAAATTTCATTCCATGTGCTGCCATCTAGCGGCTATAGCCGAAAGACTATAAGACACACACACGCACTCATAGCCCCGCACTAAGAAACCAAACGAATGACGCCTAATAAAGTTCTCCAAAAAAAAGTTAATAATTTTGCAGTGGTTTTTTTTTTCGTTTCTTATGACAAAAAATGTATTACGATAAACGAAAAATGAATTTATTAAAATCAAAATAAGGCCTTGTCGACTATATGAAAAACCACTATGGACAATACAGGCACGACTATCATTTTTACACTATATAGTAGCAAAATAATCGCATTTTTCCAAGATTTTGCGTGAGGTAATTGACACGACCATAATATATAAAACGAAAATGGTTGACTGAGTTCAAGTATGTGGAACTCTGCGTACTGTTGGCACACGTACCACTAAGCACTTCTACTGTATTTTATGGCTACACCAGTGTCTCTACCACGAGATTACTGTGCCAATTTCCGCTAACAACCGCGCAAATTACTTCACAACTTTATGTGGCAAATCATACAGCTCCCCTAGCGGTCACAAGTAGAAACAATATTTTGTAATCTCATGGTAGAAGCACTGATCGTTATCTATCACCGAACGAAGTTAAATAACGTCAACCGTTATCATATGCACGATATCACGTCGATAGTGACTTTTGGAAACGCCCAAAGCATGACTACATATTGTAAAATAATGTTCATTTTGTTATACGTTAGAATTAATTGCTTCTTTTAAACTTTTGGTTTGGTGATCAGCGTAAAGTTCACTTTCATCACTTTGATGCCTGGGTGTTTTTGATTCGTGCCGTAAAAGTAACTGTTATAAGTAATTGACAGGAACGAGACTGTTATCCAGTTTTGTTTATCATTTTCAATATTCGGCAAAATGGTGGTATTTTTGCCAAGATTGACAAAGTGCTGCTTTTGTATACCTTTGAGAACTGGAGCTTTAATCGTAGGATATTTCTCTTTAGTAAGTAACTAAGTGACATATTATTTATAAACGAAAACTTACTAAGCAATAATTAACAAGAATAAACAATAACATTGGCGTTGGTATATATCGTACTCAGCTAACTTTAGAACGAGCATAAAGTTAAGTCGATATCGATTGCAATAAATATATTTTTTTATGTAATTTTATGTAATAATTGATATCTTCCTCAACCTATCACAAACTCGAATTTTTTTCGAAATAATGTTTGTTCGAATTTTCATTACACCGAATACCGAATTATAACGAAACGGTTGTTCTTTCAGGATATGTTGGATGTTTTTCGCAAAGACATGACTATGTTCGGTTAGGTTAGGTTAAGACCTAACTTTTTTTTAACCCAACTCTTAAAGTCTTTCGATTTTAAGTTTAAAAGAAAAAACATTTTCCTCTCAAAATTACTTTCGAGGTTATGAAAATTCGAGCAAACGTTATTTTTGGAAAATGTCATTTCCGACTACTGATAGGTAGCCCCCACTCATTTATACGAGCACTTAAGATGATGCACTTAGGTACCTTTACTACATTAAGTTGATGTTCAAAAATGTTTCGAGCAGTTTGCTACCATATTGGGTACGGGGCGCCTAAATATATTTCTATTTTATTTTATGAGTGTACATAACAGTTTACATTCACTGCTACGTATATACATCTGAAATACTATCTAGAATGAAGACAATGTAGATACAAGAAGCATTGTTACGAAAAACGTAAACACGGTGTAAGAAAAATTAAATTACAAATAAAATCTAACAGATATTTGACTTCTCGTTTTAATTTAATTTCGTGTGAATTTCAATTAATTTCTATTGACTACCTGTGCAAGAAAATCAGCTGAAACTTTATTATAAGGGCAAGTTTAGGATGTGTCTCGTTACTTTAATCAACGTCTAGTACTATAGTCAAACCACTCTTATTAAACCGAGGAAATGTTACTTAGTAGTTTCCGTTCACTCTATCCAAACTTTATAAAATTACCTACATGATCAGAATGTATGTACCTATATTGAACCCCTGAATATAGGTACGTAGTACATGCCCACGCTAGTATTCTAAGTATCAATATTCTGTGTCTCTTATTGATTTATTTATCTTTCAGTTATTATCCTTGGCTATAATCAGTGTAATGAGCGTATCTCTCTATAGAGTTGTGAAATATGTAGGAGACCACAAAAACAATCCAACCCCAGGCTTCACGGCGGAGGAAATGCAGACCACTGCCGTCGGACTTTACGTTTCACATGCATACTTCATCATTGTTTTCCTATACTGCTGTGTTATCAGTCTGATGCTCATCGTTGGACTTCATAGGGTATGAAAAGCTTTACTTAATTATTATTAAGATCTAAAACTAACTCATAAAAGAAGCCCTTTGTAGATATTGAACTACCTAATAAGGTGGTTTATGACCCCTGCTTGAAGGAACCTACTGTAACTAATTACTGAAAAGCGCCAGAAAGCGCCAGAAAGCGTCTGTACAAATCTTTATATTCGTGTAATAGCCAGGGTTTCAATGGTGGCACCATTACATCCGGGTTTATGGCTTCATTTTTGGTCGAAAAACTATTGCAGCAAATTTTTGATATTTTTTTTGCTCTGACTGTTGTATTATATATTTTGTATTATAACTTGGTAAAAAATCAAAAATAAGATTTTAGTAAATGGAATTTGGAACAGCTCCGACTGTTGTGGCGGTCGAGCTGGGAGTGACCGTGGTACGAAAATAAAATGAGAAAGTGAAGGAAGATGGAACAATTCAAATTTAAAATTTAAATACATGTAAAATAAAAAAATGATAGGATACAAGCGGAGAGAGGCGATACAAAGAGGTGAGATGATGGTGTAAGGAGTTCACACCGTCACAACACCATCAGTTAATACAGTGCGTACAGGTACCTACTTCTTTATCGCAAAAAAAATAAAATAAAACCAAACATCATCAACTGATGAAAATAAAGTTTATATTGACTTTTTATTAGAAAATGACATGAAAAATAAGAGAATAATAACAAATTTAATAATAATAGATGTATACGTAATAAATATTGTGTACTATTATACCGGAACGTAAGATACTAAACTTAAAAATATTTGGACTTACTTTAGTTAGAGTTGAACGTAAGTCCACCAATTCGTAATACAACTGACTGCTATTTTCAGAATAATCTTCGCCTGGTCCGGTACTACGTAACAACAGCAATTGTGTCGCTCGTAATGGTGTTGGCTCTCGTGGTGCTGACTTTTGTGTATTTCGGACTGATCGCCACCTTGCCGTTGCTCAAGTGGAGTTGTAAGTTAAATTATCGTCTGCCTACGTTTTAGTCAACACTAAAAAAGATATCCTTTCAGCTACCGTGCAGCTTTAGGGTATGACTGTGATGAGTGCTTTTTACGCAAGCAAAAGAAGTAGGTATCTTTAAGGAGTGTCATGTTTAATTTCGACAAACACTATTTCGACTCGACAGTACTTCGACCTACACATTAACTCGGCGGAACACTCGGTAGTCCGACAGAAAACTGCTTCGACAACACAAACATTCGATAGGTCACTATTTTTCTTATTATTTTTTAATTTAATTATATAAATATTTGCTGTACTGAGAGACTACTTAGGGAGCATTTCATTCTTGAGCGGAAAATAATTAATAACTATTTAAGCACTATTTGTTGATTTCGTGTTCTGTCGGAATAGTGACCGGTTGAATAGATGTGTTGTCGAAGTAATTTTCTGTCAGTGTAATGACCTATATATAGAATGTTTGTGTTGTTGAAGCAGTGTTCTGTCGGAGTAGTGACCTGTCGAATATGTGTTTTGTCGAAGTAGTGTTCTGTCGAATTAATGTGTAGTCGAAGTAGCTACTGTCGAGTCAAAATACTGTTTGTCGAAATTAAGTATGCACTCATTTTTAACATTTGAATTATTGGCAATTTGGCATAGGCATATTGTAAGGAGTGTATAGGCCCCGAGACGTAGCGTGCGCGGTGTTCCTGCGCGCCCACCTTAGGGAAATGCCACACGGGCGTTGCGTCGGCGGCGTTACGTCAGTTGCGACGACGCGTCGTCGCAACTACGTTGATTTTAACGTAGTTCTGATTTATATGCAGTATAACGCAGTTGCGACGACGCAACGCCCGTGTGGCATCTCCCTTAGTGACGGATACGATGGAGTTTCTCCAGCTCCACCTTTACGAGAAGGGACTTTCTGTCGAGGGTCAGCGCCACCGAGACCACGGAAGTGTGCGAAAACGTACCCGTAGTCCCGATAGAAGGCGCAGAGATAGAACGGCGTGGGGTTTTAGTCAGTAGAAGTCCGACATGACATCTTTGTTGCCCCCGCAGCAGAGTGGCATCCATTTGGATTTCCTCACGGAAAAAAAGGTATATTGTAGGTATGCTTAGATATAGAAAGGTTAACTTTTTCATATTCATGAAAGACCCTCCGGCGATTATTCTGGTCTGAGTCCTATGGCTCATTAACTCCAAGGGTCAAGATATTTGTACTGCCCGACAGCCTCGAGATTTTTGCCATCCACTGATATAATCGGATCTAAATCAGGAGTTCGGGAAACTACCATAAATTTAGATTTTGAGATGTTCATTGTGAGACTTGTATCATCACTGCATCTGTTCACTTTATCCAAAATCTTTTGTAGCTTTCGTAGGCTCTGTAGAAATGATCGGAATTGTGTCATCATCATATGACATAGAATTCACCACGTTGGCCCAATGTACGCGGGGACTTTACATGTTACTAAACTACTAAAGGGATTTTGTAAAGAAGAATAAATAATATTAAAAACAAGCTATTTAGGCTTGCAAATAACTTTTACATTCCCCTCTCTTTGGTTCTGACTGAAAACAGTTACAAAACTTGCATACCCTGAGTCAGCGCCCTTTGACTGTTAAGGACAAAAGAGTTTTTTTATTTTATTTGTATTTAATTAGTATCTAAAGTGTTTGTCTATCTATCAGAACTAAGATATTAAGACTCTTTTCTGGATGTTTCTAGTAATCCTGTACTACTTCGTAATCGTGGTGCACAGCGCGTACCTAGAGATGGAGGATCGAGAAAAGCCAGTGGAATTACACGATATGTCACGTCCGCCGGGGCCTACTGAGCAACCACTTATATATGGTTAAAAAAATCACACCGTACAGCGGCGATTTCATTAGTAGAGAGAAAAAGAATTGACTCCAATTAGCCGTGAAGTCATGCACTACGTTTTTTTTAAGATTTACTAGGAATGTGTTACATATGTATAGGTGACTTTAAAAATAAATTATATGTATTGACATTTCCTCGCATTCGTCTTTTCTTAATTTTTTTAATCAACCACCAGCATCCTCGATTTCCAGGAAGCTGCTAAGATACTGAGCCTCGAAGATAAAAACAATTCGTCGAGGCTGTTGTATCGTGATGGTCGTCACTTTGGATATATTTTAAATGTGCGCCCCAAGTGCAACTCCTTTGGCGGAAAATTTTATACCTTTACAACCACTTTATACTAATAACGCAAAAGAATGGATCCTACAAGATAACCGTCGTCGAAAGGCCCCATATTAACAAACATGACAATCTCGACAAATTTCGTCGTGATTTGAAGTAACTAGAGAAGTTTGCCCTGTAGTGGGACACAATAGTGGCTATAATTAACGACTACTATATTGACTTTACATTGGTTGTTCTGAATGGACGATACAATTTCTGTTCTTTTCCATCATATTAGTTTTCAATGTTGTTAACGGGAAATAAAACAATCTCGATTTAGTTTAACCCGACGAAAACAAATGAATGTCTATGATTGTATCAAATTCGACATTTTCCAAAACTATTGAAGCAAATTCTTATCCCTCCAACGATATTTATGCACTATTGACGTCTTTGTACTCATTTATTATTGCTTATTATTTTTATTTATATTTATATTTATTATATTGATTATTATTAGCTTTAGTGGCCCGAAAATTTGTAATTTCTGTTCCGCCCGTGTGGCATAGGTTTACAATTTTAAAATTATAGTGGGCAACATCAGTATAATAGGAAAAAATGTACTAGATTTGATTACGAGAAGGCCTTCGACAGTGACGACTTTGGGCGGTGTTTCACGCTCTCCATCACTGCTACATCGATTCCCGCTACCTGGATATGGGCGTCAATGGATGCGACTACCACGGGACCGTGGTAAATGGCCCAAAATTCGGGAGCCTCCACCCAGTAGTGGGTGAAATCAGGCTGTGGATGATGTGATGTTGGTGGCGTCGCTTCAATCGGAGACTGCCGTATGTGTCAAATCCAAACGACTAACCTTAGACTCTCGACATATCTGAATTATACAATAATACTTATTGCCAATAAGGTAAAGTTTAATTTATATGGGAAATATGTACATATGTAAGAGATGTAAGTATGTAAGATGACATAGGAGTTTATTTTTAGTCATATTTCTATAGTGGTAATACACAGCACAGTCTTATTTTACGCCAATAGTCTTTGGTTCATTATTTACTGAAAGTAACGTTTATAGAATAAAAACAACAGAAAAAAAAAGTTCGTAGTTTAACTGAGATCAATCAAAAACCATTTTATCCAATGGACAAAATGACGTAATATATGGACAAAATGACATACTCGTTAAAACTATACAATTATTGACAAAGTTTCCAAATAAAACGCTTTGTTCTTCTTGGAACATCAGGGTAAGAAGCGTGAGCCCAATGCGAAGAATTTAAGCATCATCGTAACCAGTCTTTTCCGGGCATAGATCGAGAAAAAAGATCGTTGCAATATATGCAAGGACAGCACTCTTCGTTGACTCGAGGGTTGCAAGGAATATTTTCTTCTTCGCTGTCATCTTCAAACAACTTTGTAGTGACGTTTAGTCTCTTCTTTGCTGAGGGAGCTTTGGACTCATTTTTCAATTTAATTTGTCATGAATTTCCCTTATATTACGAGTAGCTGATATAACAAAAGACATCTTAAAAATACACCGGTCTTTGGTTGTCTTTGGTTTACGTTTCCCTTGTCCACTAATGAAATTTATTTTTGGGGCTGAAAAAAGTTCTAATATATTTTATTATAACGAAAATTATAATGAATAAATTAAGTTGAACACCTTTAACTAGCGCTCAAGGACAAAATGGCATACCTATGTCAGTGTGTCCGTTGTGTATATAATATGTCGTTTTGTCCTTTATAACGGTATTAAAAAACAAAATTAAAAAATTAACACACAATTTTTTTTAATTCTAATTTGAGGACAACAACCATTGACCTACCAACAAATGGACGTCGGGTCTAATACAAAAACCAACGGAAAAAAAATGTCCGAAGTTAACCTATACAAACGTAGTGACATGTAACGAAATATAAAAAACTAAAACATTTAATTTAAATCGTAACGTCATTGTCAAGGACCCAAAAACACCATATTCAGCTTCTACTGCAAATTTAACAAAATGCACCACATTTAGCTTCGACTGAAAACAACAGCTTACTTGAACACAAGAGTAATGGAGTATTTAGTAAGAAAGTAGTAGAAAGTAATTAATTTTTATATATATTATTATGTTGAATGCTGTGCAAATTCGCTTAAAGAAATAATAAAGAGTTGTGCAGATACAACATACAAATATTACTACAAATGTGAAAGTAAGCGTATACTATTAGAAATGTATTGATATTCCACCTAAAACATAAACCGTAATTCCGAAAACCGATTTAGTTTAGTTTTGTAGTCTTCATAAAATAATAATACATTTGACATTTTATTTCGTTAGCTCGAATTAAACATCATTAATAACAAATATTTTTTAAATAAGATTAAAATCAAAGCGACTCTATAGTTTCTTTGTTCTAAATATTTCAATCGCTTGTGGTTCGAACAATTGAAGATGACCAAAAAGTTTATATAAGCTTCTTGAAATTGACGTAATGGGTCTCTTTCCATCTTTTGCGCATGCAATGTGTAGAAAAGGACAGTTAGCTATTTGATTATTTTGTGTGCTTTTGTAATTTATATTTACGATTCATTTATATATAAATTAAATACGATAAAACTGTACGAAATAACACTTTTAAATGAGAACTATGATAACAACCGCGCTGTCAATCGAACAAATGAAGACTGTTGCGCGATTGACGCTCTGTATGCGATTTTAACGCCCTATGGGTGCGGACACTTTTTAGCGAGAACCTGACGTCCATTTATTGGTTCGGTCAATGACAACAACTAACTATTGTGGGATAAAAAAAAATGCAACAACAATAGGTACATTAGTGAAAAACTTAGATATCATTTATACAAAACCCCTGTCTTCAGCGACGACACTGGGATAGGCGATGCGCGAGTCGAATTATTCAATTCAGTTAACTGGAGTTACTCCTACGAGTCAACTCGAGTTACTTTTTCATGAACTCGAGCTAGCTCGGTTCATACAGCGCGTCGGCTATCCATCCTCACTCGGTCGGATCGGCGACTTTCAAGCATCTCGAGTCGCGGTCGGCAGGCATATCGTGCCTAACTCGGTGAATCGTCGGGTTGAGTTCTACTCGCGACTCGCGGTTGCTCTGTCAGAGACCGAGTCGAGTAAACTGAGTTAGCAGTCACGTCAACTCGAGTAACTCGAGTTAGAAAAAAATACAACTCGGCCCATTGCATCGCTACGCTGGGACGGATGAGAGGGGTCAGAGGGGTGAGTTCACGCTTTGTCATGTTAGTAAAAGTCATTTGTGTCATATGATATGATGCAGTTGTCAGTTGCATGCTAGAGTCTAAGAGGATGGAAAAAGGCTACAGTCCACCAATTTCAAATTATGCCAACTATGCCATTTTGTCCATATATGTCATTTTGTACGTATTTCCCCTACGTACGTAATAATTTAACAGTCCAGTATTTCAGTTTTTCTTCGACAAAAATCAGTAATAACGAACTATGTGAAAACGCGTATACGAGGCTTACACTATAAGGCGACGACGATATTATGTCAGTTTTGGCGATTTGGCGACAATGATGGTTCTGTCAATGGTTCTGGTAGTAATCGAGGATTATGCACTCCCAATGTTTTTAGGTTTATGGTTTAAGTATGATTGTATTGCCTGATTATAAAATTAGATGACCTAAAATAGTTTATATATTTTAATGAGATTCAACAATAATCACACATTGAAAAACAAAACAAAAAATTTTTCTTTGCCTTACATAATTAAGTAACTTAATTATTTTGTTGCGCATTTGGTGACACTATGGTTAATGTTAGAAAATATCAATGAGTAAATTAAGTTTCAACCTCTATTTAATATTTAAAGTTGACTAGTGCCGAGTGGTAAGTTTTGGTGTGGAAGTACCAGCTGCTCGGCTTTGTTTATCAATAGCTGATTTCGTTTTTCTTCATACCGGAGACGGGCCTAATTGGAAGAAAGGATCGCGAACTCAACACGCACCGACTGGTAATTTTACGAGGGTAGTATTTAACCGCTTACCAAAAAAGCAAGTTTTTTCATAACCTAATATGCCGCTTCCCCTATAAAAGTACCGATTGTACATCAAAATATGTACATCAAAAGAAAATTAATTTAACATTATTTACTAAAATTAAATCATACCTTTTTTTTCGCAATACATATCTGACATCCAAATACATAGGTATCTAATATTTCTGGCATACAACAAACGTACGACCACAAATTTATGAGACAAAACATACCTCTTTCACTGTAAGGCACATCTCTATCGGAATGAAACCCTTTTTATATGACATAATGGTCTAATTGTACAATTTGTCCAAAACAATAAGATCAACAAAAAAAATTAAAATTGCACACAAACATTGCAACAAAGTCTAATGCTTGAAAATCGTAGTTTTTTTGTATTTGCAAATAAAGGTTCAATTTAGTTCCAATACTATGAATTGCTTACAACAAAATCAGGTCCAAATATAATTTTTTTTTTTTTAAATTTATTGTACAATACGTCATTCATTGTTTAGACTAAGATAATTTATGGAGCAACTTTTGAGAAAAATGACGGTAATTTTCATAAAAAATTGTTATTTCGTTTAGAATTAAATTAAATTGACGTGCTATCAGTATTTTTGTTCTGTAAACCATATTTTTGTAAATAAATGAACACTTTCGTTGTACACTGAGAAATTAGCAGAGGTCTAGTTTTGATACATGTTTTTAAATTATTTTTGATACTAGATTTGTTAGACAGTTGTTCTTGTAGTGAAATAATTTTTTAGATGTGCAAGTTATTTGAATAATGAACATAATTTTGTATGTATTGAGTTTTCTGATATGCCCTTAAATATTTCCCATTTTACAATTCAGAACCAAGATGATCTGATAATAATTCTATTTAAGCTGCTTGTTAATAACGCGAGGAATGTGCGATGTTGAAAAACACATCGATATAGTTCATCACAGTGTTTCTAACAATAACGATCAAACTAGCGATGCATTTATAGATGCAAGCAATCGATAGATTAAACAAAATCATAAAATGTTAGAATCCCCACATTTATCCAATTCCTACAAATCCCCAATCTAGTTGAAATTCCCCGCAATATAGGAAATTCCCTACAAATTGGCAACCCTGCTGAAACTTTTTCACCAGGAAAAACGTTGCACCACAGAGTACTTTTGTTTTTCACTGACGTACGTACTCAACGTAAAAATAAACCGTGTTGCCATTAAAATCAAGACAAAAACTTTTTTCACTCATTAAGCGCTTTATTTTATTTTTAAACAAACGACTTAATTAATATCAGCATAGAAAGAAAAAATGAAAAACTTTGATGAATTCCATAGTATCAAAATTATTAACGTTATTGTCCTAAATTTTTCCATAGTATTTATGCGGAGGTTGTTTATCTTTGCAATCATTGCTTTAGAGCTCTGTAAAATAAAAATATCTGACGTTTACTGTTGTAAATGCTAACCAACTCATATTGAAAGTTCACTGATCGTTTAACATAATATCGGATCTTTCATTTGCCCCAAAGTGATTTGCCTTTCATTATCCTTGTCTCCCTTTTGCGGTAGAACCGACGTTCGAAGTTAGTGATATCATAAACTAGACACATTTTTTTAACATGGACGCGTTGTATTTTTGTCAGATAATTGCATTTTCCTAATTTTTACTGCAATTACGCATAAAAATTGATATTATATAGTTTCCAGGGAAAATACAACCAATATGTCCAATAAATACGCACAGAACACTAATATAGCATTGCAAAACCAGGTTCGTGACATCGTTACGGGCCGATGTGTTTTCAAGAACATTTATTTTTTATTTTTATTTTGTTTCATAACGGCTTGCTTTTATGGATTATTTATGATTTTTGTTATAAACTTTGGTGCAGAAATTTTATTGAATATAAGAGATTAAAATAAAAAGGTGTTTTATTCGTCGATTTCATTTGCAGCTGGTACAATGGATAAACGATGCAGGTATGGCGGAAGGCCACAAGAAAGCGGATCTTCTCCGTAAGATTATAGAAGTCCTGCTTCATCAAGCGTCTCAGATGGTCCCTGTGTATATAGATAACATCCTCAGTTATGTGAGCGATAAATCTACAGAGGTTAAGAAGCAAGTTCTAGCTTTTATAGAAGAAATCAGGTAACTGTTCGCAATTTTCTTGTTCTGATAATGTCATTTCGGAATGCTATGCGAATCTGTAATTGTGAAGATATTTAATTGTCTAACCTAATTTAAGTATTACAATATTTTTTTTAACATGAAAACCATGATCAAGATATCCTTAGCAGAGACCTGGTGAATTTACACTTACCCAACCAGCGAGTATGAAAGCATTGAAATGTGGGGTGAAAGATATGTGTACAATTGTAGCAATGAATAAAATGGAAAGGACATACAGTATGTGGTAGCAGTAGAGCTCCTTGTGAAAGAGTTCATCCAGGGAAGTACTGCTACCTTATCTATTTCTGCCGCCAAGCAGTGAAATCCGGTTTAGAAAGGTACTGGTGCTAGTGAAATTACAGGCACTTGGGACTTGTCAACTTGTGTCTCAGGGTGACGGGTGCAGTGCCAGTGCCTCTAAAATCTTTGCAATTTAAAACTGAGTGGCGTTGTAGCTGTTATGGAGAGGCGTGTCGCTTACCACCAGGTGCAGAACTTGTTTGTTCTGTCACTTGGTAGTATAAAAAAAAGTATATTGGTCTTGAGACAGTATAGAATAGTTGATTATTACAATGTAACACAATACTTTTGTACCAACAGTAAGCTCCATCCACAATATCTGCCAAAAGTAATAGGCGGGCTCCGTCTTCTCGTCATCGACGAAGTTATTGCTGTACAGAAGAGAGCCATACAGGCCTCGAGCATTGTGTATAGGAATACTTTGCTGTGGATCTGCAAAAGATATGCAGAGCAGACCACAGACCTTACTGATGTACAGTATGTGTGGCAACATCTTACAGAACTTAAGGTTTGTGAGACTAATAGTTTTTTTTTAGTATGTAAGATAAGAATCATTCATCATTTCAAAAATTTTAGAACTTCTAATAATACAATGGTTTCATAGGTAAAGGTGTGTAAATGGTATTTATTGAATTTCAGTTAATAGTACTAAACATGATAGATAGCGAGAATGAAGGCATCAGAACACATTCAATCAAATTCCTTGAAGAGGTGGTGCTGCTACAAAGTTCTGGTGGCAACACTGATAGCAATGAATTCACATTGGATAGTTTACCTTTGCACATTCCATTCTTGAAACGGGGAGCTCTCGAAGAAGAATCTGAGTAAGTATAATAAATACTCCAATAATGATGATCAACAACAGCACAACACTAACACGAATTTTGCTGATTTTGCATTTTTAATGTCAAATTATTCAGCTAATTTCAATTAAATACATTATTATGCAAAAGTACTAATAATCAGTTATATTTTATCTACAATGAATTACTTGTAGTAACGAGTTCTTAGGTTTTCGCGATTGTTGCTGAAATTTTTGAAAGATTGCTGATGAAACTATTTTTCCGTATTTCCGGATCATGGGATCTGTAAAGGGCCCGAAACGTCGGTTTGTTTGAAAAAACAAATATACGCGATTTAAATCCGGAAAAATAGTTTCATTTCCAACGTGTAGTAAAAAATCATTAATATAATTATGTTGGAAGATTAAAAAGTTATCAGAAATTTACCTATTAAATCACTTTTACTTCATGCGTAACTTTCGACATTTTACAATAAATTTGTCCTGAAACGTCGTGAGCTCTCACGAGTGATTATTTATTATACAGACTAAGAGACTTTGACAGGCATTTGTGCTCTTTGTGTGAATTTTGTTGAAATTTCCCATTTCCCTACACTAAATGAAAAATATTGAAATACCAATAGAGTAAGTAAATTACTTAGTTGCTAAATTTAAAAAAATAGATTACAAGGCACTCTGCAAATTATTTGCAGAAAAGCAATCTTTTTTTTAACTTATTGTAGCCAATGTTTAGCTTGATGTGCTGCCGTCTGTACATGTCCCACAATCTCGCGATTGATATTGATAGCCATTGAGGACTCGCGTGGTTATCCCGTGAATCGTGTTTACGTTGCAAAATTACAAAATTAAACGCTGGTAGCAATATGGTCCAATGTTATACCAACAAATAATTCAATTCTCATCTCGGACTTTTTTGTCGATGCAGACCGAAGATGCGCTAGGAGAAAATTCAAATTTTGTCATACAAATTTAAATCCTCGTCTCGCCTCGCCGGTGAAAATCACTCAGCCTAACAAATATTATCTACAATTCCAGACACATTTTTACCCTACTAGTGAAGTTCCACAACTCGCAGCACATATCGAGTGTCAACTTAATGGCGTGCATGACTACACTCTGCTTTCTGGCCAAATACCGACCGCATTTCATGCCACGTGTGGTACTGGCGCTTGCTGACTTACACACCACGTTACCGCCAACCTTGTCACAATCTCAAGTGAACTCTGTCAGAAAACACTTGAAAATGTTACTGATAAACATTGTCAAGCATCCTTCTTCGAACGATATGCTGCCTCAACTAACTCAGCTGCTTTTAGACATAGGTATGACACAGCAGGAAATTAACAAGGTTATCCCTAAAGAACGAAGGAATAAAAGACTAGGGGAAATCAAAAATGGGGACGTGCCAGCTAAAAGATATAGAGTTGATTCTCCTCAAAGTAACAGTATGGGGAGTGATAGTAACAGTCGAAGTGACTTTAACTTTGATGAGGATAGTAACCAAGCAATTTTGCCCACTACTACACTGCTACAGCCAGCTGCACAGTTACCTGCGCCGCTGCCTGTGCCAAAACCTCTAAATGAAGATGTGCTTTTTGATGCCCTTGATAATGTTCATAATGTAGTCAAGCTTGTGATGGCTACATTAGCCAACAACCTGCCCGATGACATGCCTGAAAATTTCATCAATGTTTATAAACCTATACCAAATTCAGGCAGCAAAGCGCAGAAAAAGAATTTAGCCAAAATGATGATGGCTCATATTAATGGGGAGCCCTTACTTTCCCTGACGCATGTTCCAACGTCATCGCTGACTGATTTGGCTGCTAAAATACCTTTGTTAAGAGATGATGACGAAAAGATTACTCTTAAGAATGCTGTTGCAAAACTTCAAGAGTCCACAAAAGCGGATAAGAAAGTTGAGGATGCAGTTTCCAAACTAATGGAAGAAACAAGACATTTGAAAGAAGAGGAAAGAAGGACCAAAAATATGGAGAAAGAAAAGGAAAAAGAGAAACACATCCCTCCACCGACGCCTACCGTCCCAAAATTAAAGCAGAAAGTGAAGCTACTCAAATTGCAAGAAATCACTCAACCTATACCAAAAGAAATAAAAGAAAAACTAATGATTCAGGCTGTAGCCAGGATTCTGCACGCGGAAAAAGACGCAGCAATTGGAGGCGCAGCACAGTTACGTTCAAAATTCATCACAATATTCGCATCTAGTTATACTCCAGAAATCCGCGATTTAGTTCTCAATTATATATTAGAAGACCCTGCTAATAGGATAGACCTAGCTTTATCCTGGTTGTATGAAGAATATGCCTTCATGCAAGGTTTCAACCGTCACCCTGTAACCTTGCAGCCTAAAATGCATGAGAAGCATGACCAAAACTACAATCAATTGTTGTGTGCATTGATTACACAGCTTTTTGAGCGCGGCGAACCAGCTACTGAGAGTTGCAAAGATGTTCTACTGCGAAAGATTTACTCTGAAGCCCCTGTCATTACGGATGAGGCGATTGATTACTTGAAACATCTCGTAACGGAAGAGAAAGTGGCATTTTTAGCCTTGGAACTCCTGGAGGAGCTTTGCATCATGAGACCACCGCGAGCTCATAAATATGTACCTTCTCTTGTTTGCCATGTTTGTGAGTATACTATATTTTTGTACTTTTATTCAATTGCCTAGTATTTATTCTTTGATAGTAATGAACAAATTCCAAATTCTACGAATGCTACCTATGGTGCGGTTTTGTAACAGTAGAGCTCCTTGTGAAAGAGTTCGTCCAGGGAAGTATTGCCACTAAAACGCAGCTAAGTGAGAAATAGTCAAATATCCGTTTTACATAGCAAAAGATAGAGCACAAAATTCTTTTTTGAAAACAGTTGTATTCGACTTATCGGAACTGGCTCTAACGATTCTAAAACTGGGTTATGGTTTTTTATGATATCTCAAAAATTGTTTTCTCACTTGGCCGCGTTTTAGTTAACGGACGGCAGAGCAGTAATGTGAACATTACTTCGTTCCAGTTTCGAAGGGTAAACGGTGCTGGTGAAATTACAGGCACCTGGGACTTGTCAACTTATGTCTCAGGGTGTCAGGCGCAGTCGCAATGCTTCTCAGATCTTTGTAATTTAAAGCTCTGAGTTGCACCGAAACTGTTATGGACGTGACTTGTCGCAGCCACCTGGCGTACGATTTGCTCGTGCTGTCACTTTGTAGAATAAAAAATTAAAAATAAAACACAATTTGGTTTTGTTGAATCAATTAAATGCAAAGAAAAACACTCTTATATATGACACATTATATTTGCACATGTCATCGTATTATCACATTACATGGAAGTTTTGGCCATGCGATACTTTGTACGTCTATATCTAAACGACAATGTTCATTCGATGATCTCTGTCTCTGTCTCTCTGATCTAAATCTAATATGATTTTTTTAAAACTTTTTTAGTAAGCGAAAACGCAGAAATCCGTGAAACAGCTCTAAAATCAGCACTCAAAGTGTTTTCGCGAAGCACAGACGCCGCGCGCAAGGCAATCGAGAAACATGCTTCGCTTTATCTCGGATTCATATCGCTGAGCTGTCCGCCCTCCGAGCTATTAGGGGGAAGACATGCTCGAATGGCGTGGACCGATGACATGTATAAAACTTGCCTGAACCTTGTTATGGCTTTGTTCCCCGAGAACGAAGGTAAGAAAGAGTTGTCGTAGTAATTATGACAACTGTTATATTAATTATTATCGTAAGTTGTAATTTCTGATAGGGTGACCACAAATTAACGGACAATTTGCTGTACTTTTAGCCCGATTTATGGTATAGAATTGTAATAGATAAAAGTATCTTTTATGTAAAATAAATAAAAATAATAAAAAATAAATAAGTATATTATAAAGTAACACGATTTATTTCAAATTGCAGCAAATCGTAAGTAGTAAACGACATTTTCGCGAATTCAAACTACAAACATTTCTAATTAGTCGTAGACACATTTACTGAAATAGTTTACTGATTCACAGATTTAATAATCGAGGTAGCGCGTGTTTACGGTTGCTCGGGCGCTGAAGCGAAACGTTGCGTACTTCGCGCAGTGGAAGGCCCGCTTCGAGCGGCCATTGCGAAGCAGCCCCCCATCCGACCTGCCTTCCTCGCGCTTCTCGAAGAATGTCCGAGAGGATCGGAGACTTTGCTCACTCGACTCGTGCATATGCTTACTGAGCGAGGTAATTCTTAATAGTTCCTGATTCTGGTTAAAAATAAGGTACATCTTACATAATCTTATAGGATTGTTAATGTATTGTAAGTGTAATAGTTTACAAGTATCGAAAATTAAGTGTTATAAATATTATCATTAACATTAAAAAAAGCGTCATAAAGTGATAATCACATGTGAAATAAATTGACGCTATAAAAACATTATATCAAATACCTTAAGAAAATCTATTATATGTTCTAGTCAAAACTATCTTGAAATCGAAATTTACCTTATTTAAAAGATACATCTAGCGTCGATAAAAAGCCGCTATATACGGCCCCACTGTTGAATACATTACTCAAAATAAAACACCCTATATGACTAGAAACAAATATGGCGGAAATATGTTATTTTTAAAGTTTCCAACTTAACACGACCGGACCTCAACCACTTGTAACCCTCTGGTCACAGGGGTAAGTAACGTGACCGCTAAAACGTTCGTCCCGTTTTTATGCTTGTGTCCCGCTGTCCCCAAAATACTTAAAAGCTTTCACAAAACAAAACACATCTAACAATAGATTTTAAGAAATATATAAAAACTAGCCAACCAAACATCGAGCATCAGAGTACACAAGATTAGTTCTTTTGAAATGTTTTGATTCATTAAACAATTTTAGTTCTTTTAAATTTTTATTGAATTGATATTCAATTATTTTTTGTGAAATTATTCCACTTGTTTGTCATAATTATATTATTACTAATATATTAATTGTATTAATAATTAATTTTAGTTCTTTTTATTTTTTATCCTTAAACATTTCGTAACTATCATCAACATTTCTTTTATTTTTAAAACAATAATAAATGTATAGGAGTCCCGCTCAGAGGGGAAAAAATATGGTCACGTTAAATACACGGCAATTTAAACACAGCGTATGTGTTACTCCGACAGCCGCGATCGCACGTCCCTTCGGTTCGGATGACAGCTCTCCACGGGAATGTCCCCACGTTTTTCATTACTGATTTAACCGAATAATGTAGTTATAATGTAGTTTCACAAAATATTTTATAACGAGTCAAAATTATGATAGATTCATACGAAGTGTATTTTACAGCTGCACCTTCGCCTGAATTGGTGTCGCGAGTACGGGAGTTATATGCAACGAGGGTCTCGGACGTGAGATTCCTTATACCCGTGCTTAACGGACTCTCCAAGAAAGAGGTAATGTCTCTATATACTTTATATTCATCAATTGGTTATTCATCCCATTGTTGGGCACGGCTCTCCTCTAAGTAATAAAATCACTTTACATTAAGAACACTTTTAAAAAACGTCATGGGGCATGTTCATGGGATCTAAAATTCGCGCATGGGATCTCAAATTCGCGCATGGGAGCGAAATTCATTTTATAATCATATGTAATAATATATGACCAATATACAGGGTGTAAATTTGAGACGGGGCAGCAAGGCCAACCACCTTCATCGTTGTAGTTACAGAAAAACTGTTCTAGAAGACTATCCATGAATTTTTAAGATATTTTGACTGGCATTCACAGATTTTGGAAAAATGGTACAGTCAGCAAGATAAAAGGCAATTTTCACAAAACTTTTTTTATGCCATTCGGTCCTGTCTTTGTTAAGGATCAATAGTCTCTATGGGACTAACTGAGGTAAGGGTACTCGAAATGTCAGAAATCGCAAAAATCTTTTAAAAATACATTTAGTAGGGACATATTTAGTAATCAGTTCTAGGTTAAGGAAACTAACAATAAGGAAACTAACAAATTGCCAACGTATTATGTATTTCAAAATAAAAACAATAACAAAAAGCAAAATAACAAAAAATATATGATAGTAAGTGCTCGAATTTATTGCCGCCTTGACAGGTGCATCGATTCGCTCTCTTCCGCAAAGAGTAAATTAGCGGCTGAAATTTTACTCGGGTGGATTCCATTGAAAATTGCTGCAAGTGCGTCTTTCAATTCTTGAACACTGTTGTATTTTTTTATAAATTTCATTTAACTAATACATAATACGTTGTCAATTTGTTATTTTCTTAACTACCTAGAATAACTGATTACTAAATATGTCCCTACAAAATGTATTTTAAAAAGTTTTTTGCGATTTCTGACATTTCGGGTACTCTTACCTCAGTTGGTCCCATAGAGACTATTGATCCTTAACAGAGATCGGATCGAATGGCATAAAAGAAAAGTTTTGTAAAAATTGCTTTTTATCTTGCTGACTGTACCATTTTTCCAAAATCTGTGAAAAATGCCAATCAAAATATCTTCAAAATTCATGGATAGTCTTCTAGAACTGTTTTCCTGTAACTAAAACGATTAAGGTGGCTGGCCTTACTGCCCCGTCTCAAATTTACACTGTATAATTATTACATTTTTCTATACGTGAAAATAACATCCATATAATATAATAATTATGTACTTTAGTATCATTTAAAGTATTATTCTAGAAAAAATAAATAAAATGTGGGCTACACCCCTTTTGCGCCGATTGCCTCAGTCGTCTTCACTCCCCTAACGTGGTACAGTCAAGAGCACATCAAGGTTGACACTTAGTACTTTGAACTGTTCTTATCGCAAGTGGCATAGAGTTGGATTTAAGTCTTAAGTATAAAACTTGACGTGCTCTTGACCCTGTACCTGTGAGTGCCCTTGTTGTTGTCAATAGCCAGACTTATCTTGGTTTACAAAAGTTTGTTAGTCTATCCATAGTCCCACTGCTGAGCACACACCTCTCATAATGAGAGGGCGTGGGCTGAAGTTCCTACGCAAACCCAGTGCTACTTGGGATCTTCACACACATCATTAAATTGCTTTGCAGATGTGTGCAGGTTTCCTTACAATATTTTCTTTCACCGAAATGCTCATGGTAAATTTCAAATTAAATTTCGCACATAAATTCCGAGAAACTCAGAGGTGCAATCCCGGATTCGAATCTAGGACCCTTTGTTTGAGAGACGGTAGGACAAACCATTCGGTTACCTCGGCTTGCTGGTTTACAAACAGACCATAAATTTCATTGGAGTAAACATATAAATATAAATAGATATTTAATTACAGATATATTCTATATGTTTACACATATTGAGTGTGTGTGTTATTATTATTATTATTATATAGAATATATCTGTAATAAACTGAGACAATTTTTAGCCAGTGATAATATTAAAGAAAAGGATCACCTTTAAAGTAAAACTAATGCTAGACAACCCTCTAGCCGAATGGTACATTCAGTAAGGTTTAGATAGCTATGGTCATACCTATAACACGTACAAATTTAAAATATATATTGGGACACCTCAGGTATAAACATGTAAACGCCCAAGTGTTTTCTAAACACCATTTATTGAGGCACCAGTAACACACCAATGTCTACATAATATTGTTTCTTACAAACTTTTTAAGTACTGCACGTTCTTTACTACATCTCGACTGCCCTGGGGGTCTACTCCCGTTCTCCCGATTTTTGTAAAAAGAAATAATTCTTTATTTAATGAATATAAATAAATTAAAGTACTTATAGCTTTAAAAAGCTGACATATATAACCTTCAAATAAATATTTTAAAACACATTGCATCAAATCAAATGAAATGTGAAATGAGAGATAATAATATTGATATTTTCAAACATCCCATGCACAATACAAGTGTATGTTTTTACATTGTTCTTTAACAACGATCTTGAATAGGTGGTAAATCACCCTGTGTGTATGCACGCGATAGCTAGAGACTGGTTGCAAAAAAATACGCGCGAATAATATGTACTCATTAAAAGTGTTAGATGTAAAATTGTCTATGTCCATATTTCAGATCCTAGCCGCATTACCAAAGCTAATAAAGCTGAATCCAGTGGTGGTAAAGGAAGTGTTTAACAAACTTCTAGGTTTACAGACTCCGGATGATGAGAATCCGCCTGGTAAGTTTAGAATCACAGAACAATAAATACAGTACAAGTGCTTAGTTGGCGTACCACGTGTGCCAACAGTACGCGAAGTCCACATACTTAAAGCTCAACCCGCTATTTAAGCTTTGTACTGTACGTTATGGTCGTGTCAATTAAATCTCGAGAATCATAGACAAATGCCTTATTTTGCTACTTTGGAGTATAAAAAGAAATAATCGCACCTGTAATATTATCCGTAGTGGTGCTTCATGTCATGATTAAGTTTTATTTAATTTTATTGCAAAATGTTCTGTTTATCGTAATACATTTTTTGGTACAAAAAACGAAAGTAAACCTTATACTGCTACAATTTCGTTGCTTCTTTTTTTGAGAACTAAGTAAACATCTCGAATCCGTCGTCGTTCAGCTATTGACCGCTAGACGGGAGCACATAATTAACACAGATTTAACGTACCTGCCGTGTACCTTCATGTACCTATGCTGGAAATGCTTGGCTCGTTTAAGATATTTCCCAAATAGATACCCGGCCTATCTGATATCAATTCGAAGTATATTAATTATGTAATTTACATGCAAAAGTGCACAATAGGCACGGTAGATCTAGAATAAATTCATGTCATTCTAAGGACTACAACCGTCATCGGAACTTTCAACCGACGTAGTCCAAACATATGGAGTAAAATTGCATCTCTTTTACAGTATCTCCTGCATGTAAGTAATTTGGTAGAGTTTGTTACTTTTTATTGCGTTCTCTTATACATATTTTTACACGATTTTTTCAAATGCGAATGAATGAATGAAATATTCATATTCGACCGTACAGACAAACAGCGAAGTCACATTATAAGGGTGCTTTTTTACCGTAAGGCACGACACTCTAACTATACTCTAAAACGATGACCACGATTCGTATCAGTTCCGAACCCGAGAAATGACGGTCCGAAATGTCGCAGGGATCATTTTGTCTCTAGGTGTACAAGCGATATTCGTATTTTCTCGGATTCGAATGTAACTTAATGCAAAAGCGACATCCGAAATGGGTCCGAGTTTTCGACATTCAGAGATACTATGGAAGCAATGATTTTTTATTGTATGCACAGTGACGCCGTCGGAGTTGTTGGTCGCTCTGCATCTCATCGACCCCGCGAAAGCCGATCTCAAGTACATGATCAAGGCCACAGCCATCTGTTTCGCCGAGAAGCAAGTCTACACGCAGGACGTACGTACCCTTACTACTTTGTTTAGAATCTTATTGCATAACTTGACATTATCAGATTGGCTGTAACGAACTGGATAAGGAGAACATAAAGTAGAACATCGTTTATACGACTATTATTATTCAATTAATTAATTAACAATGTAGTGTATGTGTTTAATTATTTCGACCCCTCCTACGTAAAGTATCGTATGTCGAAATTGCCAGGTTAACAGGGGAGCGTTTTAAAGTTTTGAGTTCACTGAAATGAGCATAACACGTGACTTTAGCATTTCTCAGTTTTATTCGGCAAAGCTCTCACATAGAGTGATCATCTAATAGATCATCATATATCATCTAACCGATATCTAGGATTTAATACTCTATATGAGTAACGAGTAACCTTCGAGACAGTAAACTTCGCAATTTCGACGTACGATACTTTACGTAGGAGGGACCGATTTCTTTGTGTCTTAAGTGTGAATGTTTTTGGTTGTTTTTTTATTTTTTTTTCGTGTGTGTGTGCTTGTAGTCAAATTAATGTATTTTATTTCTTCTAAATGTCATATATTTATAAATTAAAAATTACGTAAAAAGATATAAATTATTATTTTTATACGATAACGATACCCAACACAGTTGCAGTACCACTCAGAGGTTTAATCGCAAATACCTTAAGAACTGCCACTGAGCCCGTCACTCTGAAACGTAAAGTTTACAAATCGCATGTGTCTGTAGTTTCACTAGCAGCCTTATCCTTCAAAACCGGAACACAATAATCGGTTATGGTGGCAGTCCTTCACTGGACGAACTCTTTCACAAAGACCTCTACTGCTTAGAAATAAAATTGTTATTTAAATTAAACTGTAAATTAATAAAGTAATGAGATGTCATGACAAAAGTACAAAGTGTTCCAACAAGTGTATTATTTATACAAATTTAGAATAACGCATCACAAATGTCATAACGATGGACTATTTGAGAACAATAATTTATAACATATTCTATTTATTTAAAGTTCTTGTACACACAACAAAATAACAGCGTTTTTGAAATAATAATGGATCTCTCAGCCTTATTATAGTGTTTTTTTTAATAAGTTCTCATTTGACCTCCATTTCACGGAAAGTGAGGATGAGGTCGACAATGGAGCATCCACACCTAAATAATGCTTATTCACTCTCCTTGAAAAGGCCAAGTTATGCCGTTTCCAGAACAAGTCTCCAGAAAGGGAATTCCACTCCATAGCCGTTCACCATGTAAATGTGGAAGCCAAACACTTAATCCTTGAATGAAATGTGTCCATACTTTGATATCTTGTAATACTAACAGTCAACAGTTGGTCGAGATGATGTTAATGACATTTTTATTTATTTATTCATTTCATGCAAACAACGCATACAAGAAAACAATACAATTTCTCACCAAACACTCACAATTACAAAACTATAGTATACCTAGTACGAGTACATTTAACAATATCAGTGTAAAATTTACTAAATTTACGTGCTTTCAAGAAGTATAAATTTAAATTTTTTCTTCTAACAATTCTCTGCCTCTCAAAAAATTACCTATATTTATGTGTGCTAACAAAATTCGCTCATTTGTTTTTAATTGTCTGTATTTTTACCATGAATTTACAATGTTGGCAATAGCTAGCGACCGCGTAAATAATTTGTATGGCAAATTTTAGTTATCCTTGTGGCCGCTAGGAGCGCTTTGCGCGATTGCTAGCAACTTGATTGTATATTCGCCGTAGATATACTAGTAGGTCGAAAAAGCCACTTTGTATGTCATCAGAATTTGATAATTTTAAATAAATCCTGTTTACAGGTGGTGTCAGCAGTTTTGCAACGGCTAAGTGAGGAATCGGAGATTCCGGTACTGATGATGCGCAGCGTTTTACAGGCGCTGACACTCTACCCCGCCGTCGGCCCTCTTGTACTCAACATATTAGAATTGTTGCTCGAGAAAGAGGTGAAGATAGTCATATACATATGTTAACGTGAAGTGGGCCTAAAATCCTGATTCAATTTTTTTTAAACTTTTTCGGGACCCGGAATGTTATTACACAGGCAAATTTATTTATGTATCGCGACATTTAGTTAAGGAGTACATAGTGTTCTCAAGATTTCACAACTGTTAAATTAGTTTTTTCCGCCTTTTGGGTTTGGAGTATCGAAGCGACATCTCTTGAATCGTTTAAGTTAATTTGTTTGTCTGTTTTATCGACTGAGAGATCATATAGTGCTAAATTCTTTAGATTATGAATTAGGGCGTCTTCAAATAAGACGCCTGTAGATGCGCTGGAGTGGCGCCTACTACTACTAATTTTCATACAATATTTAGAAGCACAGCTACAGCGCCACCGTTGCATCATGCGTGCTTTTCTTTTGAAGACTAGATATTGTATGGATATTAGTGGTGGCGCGACTGTCACACCACAGACAAGCCACTGTAGCGCTTTTACAAGCGTCTAACTTGAAGGCGCTTTTAAGGTTTCAAGTCCCTCTTCAAAGTGACGATGAGGTCGACAATGCAGCATGCACGCCTAAATAATATCTATTCACTCTCGCCTTGAAAAGGTCCGGGGAACAAGTCCGCAAGCAGGGAATTCCACCTCTAGCCGCTAGCCATGTAAATGTGGAAGCGAAACGCTTCGTGCGAATCTTGGGAATACCCACAACATAGGAGTGGAACTCCAGCCTTTGTCTAGTCCCCCGATGACGGAAAGGGGAAGGCGGAATAAATAAAAAGGCGGTAACTGCCTCCGTGGCCGAACGGTTACCATGTCGGACTGCCACGGAGAGGTCCCAGGTTCGATTCCCGGGCCGGGAGAAATATTTGTATGGCCTACATTTATTTCTCTCGCGAGTTTGGGTGTAACTTGTGGTTGTCTATGTGTGTGTCCATGGCACCTGCGACACAGGGTTTCCCTAGTGCGGGGCGGTGTTGGGTATGCGAGTTATTATTATTATTAAATCACGCAATTCCATCGCACACTTTCCGTGATATGTCCTGTAGAATACCGATAAGCACGCAACTTTACGGCGGTGTACAAGGCTCTGCAGCTGTGCCCCTACTAATTCCGAGTCACCTATAAGCTTCTCGCATTCACGCTTACCCTACCTGACCCTAATTGTTTTATTTTTGATATGATGACAGGTGTGGAGCCACAAGGTGGCCTGGGAGGGTTGGGTGAAGTGCTGCGAGCGCCTGCTGCCGCAGTCGTGCTTCCTGCTGGCGTCGCTGCCGGCGCGCGCGCTGCCGGCCGCGCTGCAGGCGTCTCCGGCGCTGGCCGCGGCGCTGCGCCACCACGTGGCCGCCATGTCCGCCGCCGAGCGCGCGCTGCTGCCGCCGCACGTGGCCGCGCACCTCTCGGTACGGCCCGCGCGTGACTAGAACTGCCCTTGGCCTAGTCGCGACTTCCTGAACCGAAAAACGCTCGCGAATTACAGATATACATACTAGACGAAAAGTAAACAAACCGGTTTGGTTACAATTCTAGAGCAATCACTCAATAAATCGAATAAGTAATACTTTCACGTGTATTTCGAAGATTTTTACTTCATATCTCATCTCTTTTTCCAATAATATTCATTTCAATAACGTTGTAAAATCGTATTAGAAAAATGGTAGTCAAAAATTGAGGTTATGTTTTATTTATAGAGGTATGAATAGTTAAATCAAGTAAAGTTTTTGTAATCGATTAGTAAATCGAAAATTTCAATCGCAATAGCACGAGTATCTAAAGGTAAGGATTTGAAGAAGAATTTAAAATAAAGATTTCGGAAATTTTAAATATGCTTTTATAGGTTATGCAAGGAAAACTCTAGTATGACTCAATTAAACGAATCGATCCATTCAATTAATTAATCAATTTGTAGTTGGCATTACAATACCATCACTAAACGATGTCAACAGGTATGAAGCTTTATTCGCATCGTGCTTATTTCAATTTGCTCGAGTATCACTAATTTGGCACCAATTGTTTTGGACGATTGTCGGACGGAGAATGAGAGTACAGGGCCTGACCCAAGACATTATAGTTAAAGGTTAGTTTCTACATTGACCCGGCCGGGAATCAAAAGACCTCAGAGACGGCGCCGATTATAGATAACTGTGAACATAGAGCCACTAGTTTTGCAAGTTTATAAACATAACAATATGAACAATTTGTGTTAATCTACGCCTTTTAAACAACAGGAACCCCAGTTCAACGTGCCATCATCGGCCACGCCCTTAGAGCCGCTGCCGCCTGGCATGGAATGACCAGAGTTTGAACCTTCCGACGAGACACAGTAAAGAAGATATTTACGAACTGTTTTAACGTGGGATAGTTAATGTTTCCGAGAAATGGAAAGTCCACCTTCATAGACTTTATAGTGTATTTACTTTGCGCAACGGTACTGTCAACCGCACGCTAAGCTTTGCACTTAAGTACGTAGTAACACGAGCAGCATAACGTCTTCATAACAACTACAAAGTAGCAGTACGTTAGTTGGCATATAGACTGACAGCAGTTAGGACTCTCTTATCGTAAATGTGCATCACTTGAGAAGTTTAAAAAAAGGGTTTAAATCTTAAATGCAAAGCCCAAGTGTCGTTAACGGTACTTCGCGCCTGTCAGAAACGATCGTAATTAGCAAATAAATCGGACATACGCTGTACATGTTCTTGTACAATAAGGGCCCGCACACGTCGGCGAATGAGATTGAAGAGTACATTAAATACGTCAATGTATATTTTAACCTATAAATTCTAATAAGGTATAAATTTCAATGCTTTGAGACCAACCTCGGAATATCGCATCGCATTTCAATCTACGACACGCTAGAGGATACCGCGGCGGGAGACGCCATTATGCGATGGTTATGCCGCGGAGTCTGCCTGAATGCACTGGAGTAGCGGCAAACGGGCGTAAGCGGACGCTGCGGTACAGTGGCATCGTATGGAATGCTTCTCATCAGTGTACACTGGCAGGTTCAAGATCCTCTTCGATGCTCTCCTCCGCCGTCTGTCGATTACCGCTGACCTAAGGGTCAGCATTCAGTCTTTGGATACCTAAGTGTCCAAGGATTGAATTAATGTAGCGAGACAATACTCTGTTATCTATTAATAGGCCCAAAGAAAGAAATCAAGGCAAAGATGAAATAACTCCTAGATTGACACTTAAGAAAGGGATAATATTATTTGATCCCCAAAGAAATAATTGGTCTATTGTAAATGTGCACTTTTTTAAATAAATGATATTTTTTTATGTTTGATATGTATATTAATTGCTTCATCTATATTAGTTGATCTACGGATAAATTATAAATGAACTGCATTCAAGGTAACACTATTATTATGTTTAAGCATACTAAATTAATATTTGGTATTCAAAAATAATATTTGATCCTCTTTTTTGTCTTCTTAATGTCTTTTCTTAATGATTGATGATATTTATAACCGGTATATCTTCTAATATTGATCTCGTAATAAATGTTGGTTGTTTGGTCGCGTCCTCCATTCAGTAGGTTACGTTAGGTTAATACATGAAAAAACAACACGAACCGAGCGAGCGAAGCGAGCATACCATGGCAGTGGCCGGCGAGTGCCAGAAGCCAATTTGCATTTCCGAAAATGTTTTGAAGCCAAATTAAATTACAAATAGTATATAATATTAGTATACAAATATAATCAACATTTACTTAGTTTTAAAAATAAGTATCTAAATAAATTTTATTTTTAATGCTCATTTGTCTTAGTTTTGAGACCCAACCATAGATTGATTACCTATATCTATGGGCCCAACATAAAACTATCAAAATTAATTTATACAAATCAAACATTTTTTTGCGTAGCTCAGAACAATAAAATATCGATTGATTTAATTTATTTTATGACTCAGAGAAAAAGGATCAATAATAAAAAAATGTCCGTTTAGAGTTCTTAGCCTGTTGCTTTTGCAAATTTAAAATGGACGTAGTTAAACAAAGACGATCCAATCCACATCCACTCACTTTCGAGATATGGCAGTTTGAAGTTTAAAACTGTTTCTCATTTGCTTTATTTTCAAAACTTATATTGTCATGTAACTCCAGAGATATTTATTTATGTTTATATGTTGGATTTTTTTTGCTGATCTAAGAGGTCAGATTTTAGGAACCGTTTGGTACATATAACTCATTTTTTGATAATTTTGTGGATTGGATCCTTTTTGCTTAACTACGTCCAAATGATCATTTAAATATGTGCCCTTAAGAAAAAATAGGGAAACAACGAATTGCATCCTGGAAAGATACCAAGATTTGCTGTCTCTTCCCAGTTCTCTGCCAATGATTACGTCGGCCGATGATTTTTATTAGTTGTGGACGGTAGACCAGATTACAGTTACGGCGGGTGGTTATTTGGAAAAGGTAAATGCTGCAATACAAGCAAGCTTTTTCAGTTTAATACTTATGACACCAGGTGACTGGACGGAGAAGTTGTGCGCCTGGTGATAAGCGACACACCTGTCCATAACAGTTGCAGTGCCACTCAGAGCTTTAAATCACAAAGATTTGAGAGGCACTGCCACTGCGCCCGTCACCCTGAGACATAAGTTGACAAGTCCAAGTAATTAATGCCTTTACCAAGTTGAAAAATACTATATTAAATAAAATAAAATAAAAATAATAATATTACTAAAATGAATCGTGTTGTACGGACCCTTCGATATAATTATTATAACTATTTTTACATTGAACTTATAATTTTTTTTTTTGGATCGAAGTAGCATATTTGTTACTGTCTGTCCTTGGGTAAATGAAATGGTAAATATTTTGGTCTAGGTAGACTGGTGATATTTGTGTTTAGATGAAAACAACGTGAAAGTTAAAAAAGTTGGAGGTCTTTGATCTATTAATTTAAAAAAGTATCCGATAACCACTTTATCATCGGTTTTATCTTTCGGTGAAACTCGCTTAATTTTGACAGTTCCGTACATAGTGCAAAAATACTTCTTAGGCCGCAAATTCGGAACGGTGGCGATGGCGGTGGGCGTTCAAGGTTGCGCGTACATTGCGCGCACATTGCGCGCACCGAGGGTTCAATGGGTATAGTAACAATGATCGACATTTTACGGGACGTGTGTCTTTAAGTTAGAAATAACTGTTTGTTTTTAAACATATATCAATAGTATATTAGTTTCCTTGACAGATGTAATCTCAAGAAAGATTATAACGTAGGATGTTTTATAAAAAGCTATTATAATTATTACTAAAAAAAACTCAATTAGAACTTAGCTCAATCTTCACTAAAGAATACCAAAAATCCACGAATTAACTAACCAGTAATCAACGCACATCAATAACAAACGTGTTTCTATGATAGAAAATTTCATTCTAAAATCTTATTAGATATGAATTTAAAAAAAGATGTCAAACACTTGTCGGTCACTGGCGCCACCACCTTACAATATTTATAAAAAACTTATCAGAGAAGCTGTGGATGTGAGATTCTAGACGAACAACTTTGTTCGATTATCCATACAAACTTTGTGTTTCTTCATTTTGCTTGGAAGGTAAAAATGTTTAACTTTGAAATTTGCCTACAATAGACTCCAGTTATATTTCTCATTTGCATTCAATATGTGTTCACTCGTCAAGTAAAATAAAAATAAAGAACTTTGTTGTATTGCCGTGTTTGTATTCTGTATGTACTTTTGTTTACCATAATAAATAGTCGATAGATTTAACATTTGTATATAGTTACATTTCAACGATTATGAGTTCGACATAATATTTAAGTTTCTAATAAATGATAAGAATTACACAAATTTGTATGTTTATCATTAATGCATATTATGTCCCACTGTTGGTCACAGGCCCCCTGTAAAGAGATGATTTTACGTCCACTACGCTGGGCGTCTCTTATTCCAGCGTGACCGTGCCGGAGTTTTTGAAATTTGAGTAGTCTGGTAAAAAGTCATCATTCAAAGTCATGTGTGTTTTACTGTATACAGACTACTCAATCCGAGATCCATAGCATTTAGATCTATCTACTTTACTATCTGTACTTTTAACCGCATATGATTCGAAAAAGGTTAAATCACATAAAAACCTTAGACCTCACGCATTGTATTCACATTTGCGAGTACAACATTGTATAATTGAACATTTAGCTCATAGACTTAACAACCTTTGACCTTAATTAAATCAGGTTATAAATCGAAATTCGTTGCGACCAGTACAGTTGTATTTTTCCGCTAGATAAAAATTCATTATTCATTGACTCTATAAACGGAGCAAGTACCGATATCGCACAAGCTGTTTTTTTTTTATTTAATGAAGTGCAAATATCGCTTCAACTATTGTAGCTGAGTCCGCTACTTTTTTTTATAATACCAAGTGCCGGGACGAACAAGTCGTGCGCTTGGTGTTAATCGATACATCTGTCTATAACAGTTGCACCGGCACTCAGTGCTTTAAATCACAAAGATCTGAGGGGCGCTACCACTGCGCACGTCACCCTGAGACATAAATAAACCAGTCCCATGTGCCTGTAATTTCACCAGCACCACCATTCAACACCAGAACGCAGTAATGTGAGCATTACTGCTTGGCGGCAGAAATAGGTAAAGTGACGGTATTTCCTTGGATGAACTTTTGACAAAGTTTGACAATTGACAAAGTTCATTATGCTGTGTACAATTCCGACACAAAATTTCGTTTCCATTCCATTCCATTGTAATAGTGTATTACAATGGCATTAATCATCAGTAGATCTACAAAAAAGTCCGCGACACGTACCTAGCTTTTATTTTTAAGCAACAATAACAAGCTGTATGTTCAATATTGTATATAGGGAGGCATTGCGTAATAATGATAACCAACCAACAGAGTTTTCTTGTACCACTTACTTGAGAAATAATCCACGGCCCGTGATATCAACGCGCCGATTTGTGCGGGTGAGCTCGCGAAACGGACGGATCCGGCCAGGCTCGGGCCGGCGCGCGGGCCAACAGCGCGTATTCGGGGCGAACACGGGAGCGCTCGACGCGTGCTGCAAAACGGATCACGGGACGTGGAAAGACGGCTTAGAGCCTCTGCACACGGCGTATTTTACACGCGTATATAGGCATAGGCTCGTGCTCGTGCGGTGCCGTAAACGCGCGATATCTGCGCGGACTCGCTGTAGTGAATCGATTCAAACGCGCGCAAACATCGCGTTGCAAGCAAGAAGCTTATATTAGTTGCTTCATTTCAAAAACTACCTGAAATTAGAAACAAAACTAAAATTAAAACTATCTTTTATCAAACTGTGCGACGACAGTGCATCTGCGGCGCGTATACGCGAAAAAAAACACTATTTTTGTTTGGGCAGTGGCCCATTCTTGAAATGCGATTTGATTCAGCGATTTAGGCGTGAAAACGAAACAGAAAGTGTTAATTTCGCACTTATAATATTAGTTTGGATGAATTTGGAATGAACGTAATATGTAGTCTGAATATGCAATCTTTTCAATTCAATCAATATACCTACCCCGGAAAATAAATTGACGAAATTTGAAAAGCCTGAACAAACAAACAAAAATACATTCTTGACCTCGATCGTTACAGTTTTAGTCTACGAATTAATAAACAAATAAAAATAATGATAAAGATAGATTCGTTTTTAATTCCAATATGTAACGTAAGCACAATTACGATAATGGTGTTTTCAGAGACATCAGGTGTAGAATTTTCTCTAAGTAATTGCCTCTCACAATGTTTGACACCGACTTTCTTTAAATGGATTACAGCGTTGGAAGTTAACCAAACTTCCAGCGCTGTAATCCATTTAAAGAAAGTGTTCTTATTGCAAGAAACAACAAAAGAAAGCATTGATATCCAAAATACAAAGGTCGAATGAAAGAAAAATAATTCATTTCTGTTTCATTTTCTTTCACGTCGTCATGAGTCTCGATTTCAGATTTTTGTAACCACTGATCACGTAAACTTAATTTTTAAATTATTTTCTTTTATTCAGTGTTTCGTTATTAAATTCATAATTTTTATTTATTTTGCTAATTATTACGCTACGTCGGCTTTTCTTAGCTAACGTAGCTTAGCTTAGCTCACGTAGTTGCATGCAAAGCTAAACTAAGAATATTCATAATAACTAATTGACTATACATATATTATAATGACGTTGGGGGTTTGAAGGGGGGCAGAAGGGAGACATATTTTACATAGCTGGCGGGATCGTTGGGTTTAGCTCGGTTAGCTTAGTTCGCTACGTGAGCTGAGCTAAGTTAGCTTCG